TTTTATCCTCATCTTCTCTTAAGGCATTATTCAAAAATACTACTTCAGATTATAAAGTCTATTCTTCGTTATTAATAAAACTAAAATTAATAAGAAGGACAATTTTAGAGTGAATAAACCTTCAAACATCTTGTGCTAGTTATTCTCAATTTAAAATTTCAGTTAAATATTTACGTTATCATTAAAATTTCATAAGTTAGTCTGGAAAATTGTAAGACTTGGGTATTTTATAATATTTCATAGTAGTAATATAAATACATTTTTTCAACTATACAGAGCAACAATAATAAAACTGAACAAACCATTGTCAAAAAAAATATTATCGGTTTCATTTGTAGCAAGTGTTCCAATTCTACTTTATTCTTATCTGAAAATAATTATCACATTTGTAGAGTGATTTTATCGTAGAACATTGTTTTATTTTAAATATTACCCTTTGCATTAAGTAAATTTGTATATATCTCTGCTAGGCGAACGGTGACGAATCCGTTGAACTCTTCAAATACTAGTTTCTGTAATTCTTTTGGGGAGATTGAACCACTTTTATTGATATCGTACTTGATAAATGCATTTTTCAATTGTTCGTCTGTGATGTCATTCAGATTTTTATTCTAGAATATGATTTACAGTTCATTTTATTCGAATCGTTTTATCAAGAAAGGGGAGAAGTCTAGTTAATAAGTAAAAAGTATGGTATGTGGAGGTAATTTTACAAAAATTTCATGTTTTTTCAATCTTCCAAAATTAATTTAACCCATTTCCTGATATCGTAGAACGTTGAAATTTAACCCAGACACTCATTTTGGATGACAATACAATGTTCTGTCCAAATATTGGGACCCATACATGCAGTTCGCAAATGCCGGGGGTCGATATGGGGGGGTCATTTCACTAAACATTTTTTTTTCAAATTTTCCAACAAAAATTTAGTCATCTATTCACCAATTAGTAAGTACCCTTTATAGGACTAAAAAGTAAAAAAATATTGAATAAATAAAAAAAAATTTTAAAATCATGCTTTTCTAAAAAATAGTAAAAAAGTGAACTAAAAATAAAAAGATATTTTTACTTCAATAACAATTTACCAATCAATTTTAGCAAATCTTATTTAAAGTGACAATTACTTTGAAAACAATCTAAAATTAACTACAATTTTAAAAAATGTTAAACATCTTTAATTTTTTACTAAAAAGAAAAGCGTGAACCCTATTCAACAAAGTCTCTAATAAATCTATTAGATAACATTTCAGATAATGTTATAATATATTGTAAGTTTTTTGGTAATTTAAATTTGGTTCAATATTAGTGTGTGACACATACATTGCATAATACTGAACTCAATTTGTTTGAGTTTGTTTTTTAAAATATTATAAAATTACTAAATATGGCAAAAATTAGAAAAACAGAATAAAAAACGTTTATTCTTTACATATTAATGTGTATGGAATAAATAATTTATAAATACTTGAATGAATTTCACCGATAATTCATCATTATTGGTTTAGCCGAAAATAATTATTATTATAATGTATTTTAAGCCTAGTAAAAGTGAAGAGATAAGAATAAACAAATATTTCTATTCTACTAAATATTCGTTGTGACTGGTGCAAATAAAATAAATATATGTATACCTTAATAACTTTGAATCAGATTTATATATCATTCGAATACAACTTTATCTAAATAATCTTTTACTTGAATAATTTTAGAAATAGTTAAAGTAACTTTCAAAATAATTATTATATTTATTATTTCAAACATAGTTTTTAGAATAAAAAGTTGATGAAATAATTTCAAATAATATTATTTAAATAGTTTGTAAGTGTTTTTTTTTCAAGTAACTATATCCTAAAACATTGTTTTTTACAAATCCAAAATATACTATAATTATAAAACTAGTATATAAATATGGGGAGACATTTTTTTATTCTAATAACATTTTATTCGAATAAGTATTTGCACTATTCTACTTACAATATTATCCAAACAATAATCCTAACAACCTTTATAGAAAATATGTTGTCGTATGTATTTTATAGCAATAGGTCTTTATGTAATTTTGGCCTTGTATATTATACTATCTTTCAAATATTTCTGAATGTTTAGATACATACCACCGTACTCGTAGAACCTTCATCCTCGTTCCGCTAATAATAAATTGTAAACAAATTATTTTTTATACTATAGGCTTTTAAATATTACTGAACTTAAATACATACCACACTAGTAGCAGTTTCCACTATCTCTACTGGTATCTCTACTATTGTATCTCTACTACCTTCGGTACTATTTTTGTCTATACAACACACGGCACAGAAAAGTAGTATAATATTTTTTGAAAACATTGTAATGCAAAATATGTACTTGGCGCGTATGAGAACTGCTAGGAAATGTAATATTCTTATTGTTATTTTGTGGTTTTTTCGCAGTTTTATATTTTTGACGTATTTCGAGTAAAAACAAAAATTGTGAACAACAATCATAAAATATTTTTGAACACATTTTCTCAAACAACATTTTATTTTTCTGACCTAGTTTCAAGTGAGTATAACATTTGTGAAAAACAATTATAAATTATCTTACAATAGGTATGGAAAACAGCAGCTATTCTAGCATGAAGAAAGAAATATCTCTACTCTACACTCTGCCACCCGTCCTAAAGTTTAAACTTTAATAATTTTGAAAATAATTATTCAAAACAAGTTATTGACCCGTCAAAGGGTTCAGCAAATTAGTCTTAATTAAATATATAGGTTAACATTTAAAACAATTGTTTAACGTAGTTGTTCAGTTAACTGAGATAATTTAATATTTATTTAAAATATAAATACACAAATGATAACAACATATCAAATGAACAACATACTACTGTGTATTAATAAAATACATTTATTATGTCCTTACTATTGCTTTACGCTTGCTTTGAACAGAAAAATAGGTCAACTATGTTTTATTACTCGAGACGTTTAAATTAAAAAAAAAAATCTTCAACATTCATCAAAGCCAGACCTCCCAAACAATTAGCGACATCGAGATTTATTTTGTATTATACAATATTTCAATGAAATATATGATTTATTCCCTAAGCAATATTGTTGATATATTTGTTGGAGTTTAAAGACTGTTAGCAAATTATTGCACATTAAATAATGGTATATTATGTATTTTGTGGCCGAAAATTCCGACAAAATAGTAGTAGATAAATAAACACTATAGACACAATTCTATAAAATAATTAAAAAACCAAAAAACCACCTTTGATTATAAAAAATGTCAGTGTATTAACAAACAATTTAATTTTTAGTGTTTTTTACAGTCGGTGGTTCCTAAAGTTAATTCAAATAATTATTTTACACAATACTGGAAGCATCGTAAAAATACAAGCTTTTATAATATAGATTTTAACTCGAGTTTGATTATTAATGATTTCCGCAGATATAAGAAATGAACTTGGGCAAAGTGATTGCGAAAGTACTCTTACGATTCAAGGGATCAAAATAGTTTAATGAGAGTTTGGATTTTCAAAAATATCCATCATCTTAACTTATCACATGTGTTTCATACATCGTAGGTACATAGAAATTGTACTTTAAACAGTTTTTGACACGTGGGATGACATTTTGGTCTCGGGACACTTAATAAACAACACTGATTGTTCCTAGAAGGAGTACAAGTATTTTCAATATTTCGCTTTTTTATGTGTAGTACAAGACTAAAGTTTGAAATTAAATACTAAAAAATCACCAGCTGTGGCCCAATTACAATAAGTAGCTCTTCATTGACAATTATTTTTTACAGCTATGGCATATCTATCCTCAAAATGTGTTTTTGTTATTCACACCGAGAATACAGGCTGTTCCACAATGATTCGACAAATGAAATAACTTTTGTTCTAGTAAATATTTTTAAGATTATTTTTTAAATTAATTTCTATTCATTTGCGCTATAAGCACCATTTTTTTTTCACATAACTATTTTACTTAATACTAAAATAATATTTTTTGTTACATTTAAAAAAAAAATCAAGATAGCCATTTTAATAAGAATAATTTTCTGAAAATTTTGACTGGTCCATAACCAGATTTGGATTATTACTTAAATTGCGCCAAACATCTTTTTGCGACGATTATTATAGCAAATGAATGATGGCGGTTGAAAAATCGGTCAGTTGTTTTGGGTTTTCCAGGTTTTGAGGATAAGAGCGTCATTTTTTCTATATTTCAATATATCTCCTAGAATGAGTACAAATGTTTTCAATATTTTATAAATACTCTGGATTTGACTAATACAAAATATGCATATGCTTAACATACAGAATTTTATCCACTAGTCATCAAAGATAGGTGAATAAAATATATTAATATACAAATGTACAGTCTTGTGGCACACTCTATCAGTGAACTAACAGTATTGGTATCGTACTTGTAAAATATCTCTTGTTGCTCAGTTCCGAAGTCATTATGATATGGATTTTTATTTTAGAATATTTAAGTATCGAGTAGAAAAATGTATTTATTATTTGAATCAGTTACATGATCAAGGCAATGATAGCATTGAGGTAAAAGTGTTGAATAAAAGAAATATGTATCGCTAAGAGGAAAACGATAACTGTGAACATGTTATTGAGAGTTCACTGTACAAAGCAACTTTGTAAAAGACAAAAACTTACAGAAAAAAACTCTAACGCTGAAGATAACTCATTAAAAGAAGGAAGTAGAAGCAAACAGTAAAACCGTTAATTAGTATAGAGGCACAATGATAATAAATGATAGAATTCTTTTCAGGTAACTTATAAAGTCATAACATATTAATTTAATATTAGCTTTTATTATAAACTTTATAGGTTTATTAATACAATATAAGGTGATAAGGTAAAACAAAGGACTAATTTGTATGTATCAAAGTATAATAGAAAACTTAAAAATATGCAAACAAATATTTTATAATATTTTTTTAATCTTCAGCAGTTGTACAAAGTAATTAAATAATTTATTGATTATCGACAACCGGTTTGAAATATCTATTGAAATGTATGTATGAAGTTTTCATCAAACGTACAATATTAATTCTTGTGCATAGTGTATTCCTTAATGTTATTTTGAGAAATCATTTGAAATATCTGAAACAAATATACATTTTTAAAATATGTATTTGGTTTTCAAAAAATCCAAAATTACTAAAATCTTCACAAATTATTGGTACTTAAAACTGTTACATTTTTCAATGCCTAATATTCATTTGAGTCGAGAGTAGAGTTTAGTTATGAGGTTACGTCTCTGGTTCTCCGTTCTGCTTATACATATTGCTCGTCATTTGCATGTATTCATGAAAATCGATCAAACCGTCACCTGGAAAAATTTTAATGTTAATTAATAATAATTTCCACTACAATGTTGTTTTTAATGTTTTTACCGTTTAAATCCTCCCCCATGATCATTTTAGTGATTTCAGCCTTTTTTGAACCAATGTCGACCCCTCCTTCAACCAGGTCATTAATGGGAATAAAGCCATCTTTGTCCTTGTCCATTTCACAAAATCCCTCGTATATATTGAACATCTAAATGTTTTAAGAAACACATATTATTATATGTCTTAAAACAAAATGCGTAATTATTATTCGAAAAGTTGAGAATCTTTTTTGTATACTATTTACTTTAATATTAAAATATTTGATTATTAAATAGTAAAATTAAAATTCACTACGAATGTGAAAAACTTGACGTTATATATATGTACAAAAATGGGTGTAGGGAAATTCTCAATTTTTGTTCATTCTGGCTAAACTGTGTCGCAGCAAAATTAAAAAAAAAAGGAAGTACCTGAGTTTTTGCATCACTGGCTAAAACTCAATATGACTGGCGGTTTTTTGATAAACGTTAAAATACCCTTCTGTTTATTCTCCACGTAGTATGATCACTCATACTGCAGTACTAAAGTAAAAAAATAATAACTACTAACCGCTAGTGAATCGCCAAACATGTTATAAATTTCGTCGAGCCTCATCGGTTTAATTGGCCATTGTACTGTAAACAGTTGGTGGAAAATTAAAAAAAAAAAATGTCAATAGGCAGCTTGTTTACTTTTGTTTTTACCAATAAGATCTAGTATATCTGAGTATTCGTCCTCGTCTCAGAACAGTTTTTGAGCTACTGCATTATTCTTTAATTTTTCCACGAATAACTCCCTCGAATAAGTGAGCTTTTTGTAGTGGTAAACTTTCTTCGCTAAACTAGTCTAAACAAAATTAAAGAAACGCATATTATGTCAATTTAATGATGACTTTTTTTTTGTAAGGCTTAGATGCAACAAATATTATACAAAATGGTTCATCAAGATTAATACACTCAAGTTTGTATTTTTCCTGGTATCTATCGATTTTTATTTCTTAAATGTCAATACTTTAGAGCACACAAGTGTTATGTCCATTTTTTTTCAAAATCGTGATTTCGGGCTCATTTGATTCAGTTTTTTATCAAGAATTCAGGAACACCAAAATTACGATTTTGAAAAAAATGGACATAGCACTTGTGTGCTCTAAAGTATCGATGTGGCCTTAAATATTTAAGTAACTTTTAAAATTGGGAATTATTTGCCGAAAATGTTGTCTGGTCTATAACTAGTTTTGGACAGTTACTTTTGAAGTTATAAAAGTTCTAATACAGTAGTATAAATACATTTTTTTCAAAAGGGAAAACTTTAAAAATGGATCTCCCAATATAGTAACAATAATAAAACTGAATACAAACCATTGTCAAAAAAAATATTATCGGTGTCCATTTTTTCAACTGCTCCAAATTAATTTTTTTATTATCTGAAAATAATTATGATATTTGTTAAGTGATTTATCGTAGAAAATTGTTTTAATTATAATATTACCCTTTGAATTAAGTAATTTTGAATATATCTCTGCATGGCTAACGGTGATGAATCCGTCGAACTCATCGAATACTAGTTTCTGAAATTCTATTAAGGAGAGTGAACCATTCTCATCGGTATCATGCTGGTTAAATAAATTTGCCCATTGCTTGTCTGTAGTGTCATCCACATTTCTTTTCTAAAGTATAATGTACAGTTCATTTTATGCGAATCCTTTTATCCAGAAAGGGAATAAGTCGAGTTAAAAAGTAAAAAGAAATTAAAAATGATCGTCAATAATTTTCACAACAATTATTCTAATATTTTCAGATATAGTTTTTCGATTGAAAAGTTTAATTAATAATTTCAAATTTTATTATCAAATAATTTTTAAAAATATTTTTTAAATAGTTTGTAAGTTTTTTTTATTCATGCAACTATACTTTGATTAATTATTCCGTATTATAGTCCAGGAAAATAAGAAAAAATAGCGGAAAAAAATGTTGGAAAGCTGAATTTTGTTGTACACCTTAAGTGAAGGGTCCTTATAACATACTAAAAGTCCTTTAAGATCGGACGCCTGCTAGCTCCGCTAGAGCGCGCTTTGTGTCAACAAAATCAGTTTTTTGCAAATAACTTGTTATTTTTTAAGATTAAAAGATAAACACTTTATTGCATTGATATATACTTTATTGTAGAAGAAATAATTATCTATAAAAAAGGTATTTATACATTTTTTTTTTGGAACAATATTTACTTAGATAATTGCACATTAAGTATCAATGTATTGGAAACCTGTGTTTTATGGCGTCCGTAATTGTCTGACACGTTTTTTTTATAAATATTTGTTACTTAAATTTATAAAATTCACACTATTTTTTAATAATTATTACACAACAAAGGCAGATTATTTTAGATTATATTATTACAATTACATAATTTTAATGGAGGTTCCTATTAGTAATGGAGAATGAAATGACCTAGGTCTAGCAGCAGATATAATAATATGAGCTGCAGCGGTGCGTTTCCTATGTAATTTATTTTCATTTTTTTGTTTTTTTTCTTTAATGAGCGTTTTGATATATAAGTTTAATGCTTTAGGAATTTGATTTTGTAAATCACACAAAAAATTGTCAGATGAAGGATTATGTATCTAACTCATAAACTTGGGACCTAATTTATTCCCTTATAATTTTAGCTGCAGTCTCTACAACCCGTAATCTGTCTTCCGTTTCATCTTTTTTTTTTCATTGTACCATTGATTAGTTAAAATCTTATAACCGGTATTACGAAAACAAATAGTGGTTTTTTGTGTTTTAGAAGTTAACACTATAATGTCATCTTTATATTTGTGTTTTAAACGAGCAATAACGGACTTTATTTCAAGCTCATAACCATCATCTTTTACCTCTTTTATTAAATCTTCAACTGCATATTGACATTCATCACTACTTTCCAAAATGTTGAATATTTTTTTCCATCGCAAAATTCAGTGCCTCACTTTCTGGTCTACCACATTTTATTCCATGTCTAGGCAAAGCAAAAAACGTTTTGTGGCAGTCACCGTGATATTTAGCCTCAGCAGCTACTAAATCAAACACATTACAAATACGATTAACAATCTTCTTACCCCAATCATCAACTCTCTTTCTCGCCATATCCAAAATTGAAGTCCGTACTTCTAAACTTTGGACTTCGTGAATTTGCCTCCGTTTTTCAATGTTTATTTTTTCTCTCTTTTAAAAAACTCGTCATCTATGACTCCGTCACAAAACATACATTGAAACTAAAATTAAACTCTGATATAGCTGACCTTAATTTTCATTTTGTTGGTGATATATAACTTGTACCAGTTAATTCGTTAGATTCATTAACTGCATTGATTGTGACTTTAACGCTTTGAGGGCGGGTGTAATCCTTTCGACATTTTATATGTGCTTTCATATTTTCGGAAAATTTTAACCACTTATCGTCAAGTCTTTGTTTACTCGCATTTATTACTGAATCTATTCCATTCGATTTTAAAGTCACCACGTTACTTTCCGATGTTATTAGCTTTTCACAAATGAAACACGTACTTGAAGACATTGTGTCAAAAATTCAGTTTTATTAAAATTCTACTTAAAATTGCAATATGCAAATAAAATAATAATGTAATACCGAAAATAATACGCGACGTGTTCATGCGATAAGCTCAACAACACAGCCCGCATGCGACTATGACTTAAGGTAACTGACTTGCGATAATCATAACAATAACAATAATAATAGGTTTAATACTGATAGTCGTTCATATAATATCAAATCAGACAATGATAAAATGTGCACTTATTTATATCTAATAAAAATAAAATAAGTTTCCAATACAATGATACTTTATGTGCAATTATCTAAGTAAATATTGTTCCCACAAAAAAATGTATAAATACCTTTTTTATAGATAATTATCTCTTCTACAATAAAATGTTTAGTATTTATCTTCTAACCTTAAAAAATAACAAGTTATTTGCGAAAAACTGATTTTGTTGACACAAAGCTCGCTCTAGCGTCCGATCTTAGGGGACTTTTAGTATGTTATTAAGGACCTTTCACTTAAGATGTATACCAAAATTCACCTTTCCAAAATTTTTCCCGCTTTTTGCCAAAATTGGATCTAATTTGCCTGAACTATTAATCTAATTCATATTTTATTTACAAAAAAAAAAATAAAACCAGTATATCCTTTGGCCAATTTTTTGTTCAAATAACATTTTATTCTAATACGAATTTGCACAACTCTGCTTACAATATTATTTATACAATAATTCTAACTATCTCGAAAATATGTTATCATCAATATTTTATTTCAATAGGGTTTTTGTTATATTGGCCATGAATACTAGAAGTTTACAAATATTATTTAATTTTAGATACATACCACCGTACTCGTAGAATCCGCTTCTTCCGCTATATTGTTTATCTTTCCTTTACCAAATAAATTTAAGACATTCGATACTATACCTGCGTCACTATTTTTCACTGTAAAACACACGACCCACAAAAGTAGCATAATATTTTTTGAAAACATTGTAATGCAAAATATGTACTTGACGAGTATGAGAACTGCTAGGAAATGAAAATGTTTCTTATTGTTGTTTTACAACCTTATATTTCCAACATATTTCGGGTAAAAAAAAATAAAAAATCTGTGAACAACAAACATAAATTATTTTTGAATACATATTTTAAAACAACTTTTTCGTCTAACATTTTATTTTTCTGACCTAGTTTCAAGTGTGTACAACATTTGTGAAAAACAATTATAAATTATCTTACAATAGGCATAGAAAAAAACAACTATTATTTAAATGAGGTCCTACACAAATAAAAAATAAAATTATTGTGTTTACACTTTACAGACACAAAAAAAACCACATCATTCTAAAAGCAATACAATCTCAGCTATATCATCGAAGCTAGAAGTCAGGCTTTAAAATAGGTCAAAATTATATGTTTTCAAAATCACTGATATCCAATTATAAAATTATTTTTCCATTTGACCACTTACTTAAAGGGTTATGGTCAGTGTCTTGGAGAAGGGAAGGGTGTAGATAATTTCCAATTTTGTTAAAAAAATGTTTTTGAATTAATCTCCTTTTGTGATAATACTATACGTATACTAAATTTCAAGTTTGTAAATCTATAATAGTACTCAAAATCCACATATAGTGTTCAAGTCACTTTTTGAGTTTTTTTTATTATACATATATATTCATTTTAATTCTAGTTAAAACGACTGTATTGTACAAAAATTGACGATACGTTTTGTATAATTTTATTATGTAGACAAAAGACCAATAATTTTTGGAAGCTAAAAGTCAGGATTTTACTCTAACAGGCTTCAAAATAGGTCAGAATATATACAATAAATGTGATGCAAACAATATTTCGTTTTTTTTATGTGCAGTACAAGACTAAAATTTGAAATTAAATATCAAAAAAAACCCAGCTGTGACTCTATTACAATAACAAGCACTTTATAGACAACTGTTTAAACAGCCACGGCTTATGTATCATAAAAAAAATTATAAAGAACAAAAACAACTTAATATTATAACGTATATACCTTCTCAGCCAAGCAATAAACAATATGAAAAAAAACAAAATGTGTTTTTATGATTCACACCGAGAATTTATTGCATACAAAATATTTTTTTGTGTTTCATACCTATAATATAATATACATGTGACCTAAAAAGGTTGAATACTATACCATTAATTGGTTAGAATATTGAATAATAATGGTATCGCCATTATATTCAACTCTATGGATCTATATATCTGATAAAGTTCTAAAACTCTTTACTGCACTTTTACATGCTAAGATGATTCTAACAAGTTGTAAGACCTTAAATAATAATATCCGTTAATCGGTAACACAGATCTGCGAAACCAAAGTTGACTTTAGATAAAATTTATATTTTCTATCTTCTTGAAAAACTCTGTACAATGGACTTAAAATAAACTTTTTATCTCTTACATAGTTAATGATTATATTGAAATAGGATTTTATAACATTTAACACACAGACTTTTTGTGAGTATGGGTAAGACCATTTTTAAAAAGATACACACAAATATTTTATTACATGTATTTAATAAATCTTCAGCAGTTACACAAATAATTAAATTAATAATCGATTGATTATTGGCAACCGTTTATCCCTATTGAAATGCATGTATGAAATGTTCATCGAATGTACTTAATATTCATGTGCATAGTGTATTCTTTAGTATTATTTTGAGAGTTAATTTGTAATATCTGAAACAAATATACATTTTTAAAATATGTTTTTGGCTTACAATAAACAAAAAATTACTAAAAGTATTACAAATTATTGGTATATTGTAAAATTGTTATATTTTTCAATGAATAAATATTCTCTTGAATCGAGAATAGAGTTTAGTTATGAGGTGACATCATTGAATGCTCTGAGCTGCTTAAAATCATTACTGAATTTTACCATATATTCATAAAAATCAATCAAACCGTCGTCTGGAAAAATTGTAATGTTAATTAATAACAATTTTCATTAATAATGTGAATCTTAAGTATTTACGGTTTAAATCTCCCTCCATGATCATTTTAGTGACTGATATTTTAACAGCTGATTCCTCAGAGGTATCATTTTTTTCTGAATCAGTGCCCATCCATACATTAACCCGGTCATTAACGTCTCTAACACCATCTTCGTCTTTGTCGGTTATACTAAATCCCTTGTATATATATGCCATCTAGAAGTTTTAAGAAACACATTATACTTTTATAATATTTATATTTTTTGATAAACCTTTTGATATTCCTTTCTGAGTCCTGTTATTCTGTGGTAGAATGATCAATCATACTGATAAAGTAAAAATTGGATTGAAATTATAACTACTAACCGATAGCGAATCTGCCACCATTTTTAATATTTCTTCGAGCTTCGTCCATTCTATTCTAGAATTTTCTGTAAACAGTTAATGGATAATTGAAAAAACAAAATTTAATTGGTAGTTAAGTTTTTTACTACCATTTTGACCAATAAGATCTAGTATTTCTGAAATTTCATTCTCGTCTGAGAACAGTATTTTAGCATCTGCATTTTTCTTTATTATATTCACGGAAGACTCTCTCGAAAAAGTTTCATTTTTGTTAACGTTTTCATTCTCCACTAAACTTTCTTTCTAAAAAAATATAAGAAACGCATATTATGTCAATTTAATACTGACTTTTTTTGTATGGCTAAGATGCAACAAATATTATAAAAAAATGATTCATTAAGAATAATCATCATCATCATGTAGCTTAACGGGCTATGAAGGCCCAACGCTGCCATCATGAGATGGTTTCTTGACGAATTCGCTTCTGGGACGGGTTGTCAATCCGTCGCCGGAGAGGGGGATGGCGGTTCCTTTTTACCGGACGATTGCTCACCCAGCAAACGGAGCGCCTGTGACCGAGTGTCGAACCGGCGACAGTGAGCGCTAACACACTGCCGCCTTACCCACTCGGCCACTACTCCTCCTCCATTAAGAATAATACACTCAAATTTATAGTAATACACTAACTTCAAAAATAGTTATCCCAAACTGGTTATAAAAACTTTTTAGTACATTATTTTCAATTAAAAAAGTTAATGAAAAGTATGCGTTACTATTTAAGTTACAAAAGTTGCTTTCAAAAAAATTAAGTTGAGAGGGAGATATTAACAAAAAAAAGGTAATAAATTAAGGTAACAATGCATTAATACAATAGGTAAAGAAAAAAATGTAATTTCTTCATAAACCCAGTGAGATATTAAACGGTTCACCATAAGTTATTAAGGTATAACACCTTGTATACTTAATTAACTTTTTTAATGAGGAATAATTTGCTGAGAGTTTTGTCCGATCTATAATTAATTTTGGACATTTACTTTTGAATTCACAAAAGTTCTAATACTTTAAACTTCTTTATCATCATCTTTCCTTCTCTTAAGACAATATACAAAAATGATATTTCAGACTTCTAACGTCTATTACTCGTTATTAATAAAACTGAAATTAATAAGAAGGAAAATTCTAAAGTGAATACACCTTTTAAACATCTTGAGTTAGTTATTATCAAATTAAACTGTTAGGAAATATTTACGTTATCGTTAAAATTTCTAAATTTGGTAGACTTTCTCAAAAATGTTAAAACTTGGGTATTTTATAATATTTCTCAGTAGTATAAATACATTTTTAAGCAACAATAAAAAAATTGAACAAACCAATGTCAAGAAATATATTATCGGTTTCATTTTTTTCAATTGTTCCAATTCAATTTTATAGTTATCTGAAAAAAAAAACATATGAAATATGTTGAATGATTTTATCGTAGAACATTATTTTATTTTTAATTTTACCCTTTGCATTAAGTAATTTTGCATATATCTCTGCATGGCGAGCTGTGAGGAATCCCCTGAACTCATCGAATACTAGTTTTTGTAATCCCTTTGGGGAGATTGAACCATTCTGCTCGGTACCATAATGGTTTAATAAATTGTCCCATTGCTTGTCTGTGATGTCATCCAGATTTTTTTTCTAAAGTATAATGTACAGTTCATTTTATGCGAATCCGTTTATCCAGAAAAGGGAATAAGCCGAGTTAACCAAACAACCTTACGCTTGTTAGGTTAGGTTGAGTAGGTAAACAAATTTTGAATCACACGAAAATCGGGTATTTACTAAATAAAAACGTAAAAAAAAATCTGAAAAATGTAAATAGCTTTTCTTTTATGCTTTTAAAACATAAAACAAATGATTTTATTTTTTTAAATAAGTATGGGTTTATTCTGTGCTTTGGTTAGACGCACTCACTGCTAAATTCAGTACACATGAAATATGACAAAAATTAGAAAAACAGAATAAAAAACATTTGTTCTATACATATTAAAGTGCATAGAATAAATAATGCCGCCTTAAAAGATTACTGGCAAACTTCAGAAGCAAGTATTACTCAAACTATTTAGCTTCCCTTTCCGCGCATGACGGATCTCTATGGAAAACCACCAAACAAGCCGTAAAAGACAAACCTACATTCTTTCCACTTAGAAATGAAGATGGTTTCATGGGCCGCAAATGATCAGGAAAAAGCAGAACTTTTCAAAAAGCACTTAAAAATGTTTTTAAGCCCCACGAAACTGCAAAAAATACTGAATTTCTTAATAAAATACAAAACTTCTTATTATCCCCACTCCAATTGACACTACCTCCCAAATCTTTCTCTCCAGCCGAAGTTAAACATTGCATATCTACATTTCCCACTAAAAAATCTCCTGGTTTCGACTTGATCACATACGAGGTCGCTAAGCATCTCCCCAAAAAAACACTTATTCTTCTCACATATATTTATATTTAATTCCATACTTCGCCTCTCATACTTTCCGCTGCAGTGGAAGCTCTCTGTAATAATAGTTGTACTCAAACCTGGTAAGCCACCGGAGTACCCCTCATCCTATAGACCTATCAGTCTTCTCCCTTTCTTTTCTAAAGTATTTGAAAAACTATTCCTAAAAATAATTAAACCGATCATAGTTAAGACAAAAATTATTACAAACACGCAGTTAGATTTCCGTAACAGACATTCTACAATCTAACAAATAAATCGTTGAACAGATACAGTCGCCTCATCACTTGAAAATAAACAATATTGCATTGCTGTTTTTTTGGACGTTGTGCAAGCTTTCGACCGAGTATGGTATGATAAAAGAAGACCATCAGGTCTTCTTTTTAAACTGAAACAAATTCCACCTCCACACTACTACTTACTCTTTCAATCTTACCTTGATGAACGACAATTTACAGTACGTTACCGCACAACTCTTTCAACCATATCTGAAATAAAAGCAGGGGTACCTCAAGGTGCTATTTCTGCTCCTCTTCTCTTCAACATATTTACATCCGATTAACCTACCCATCTAAACACAACCGTAGCAGAACTTGCCGAAGATAAAGCAATCCTTTCTGTTCATAATGACCCCCAAATTGCTTCTCATTACTTGCAATCACACCTCAATAGTCTTCAAACCTGGTACACTGATTGGAAAATCAAAATTAATGAAACTAAATCCTGCCATATTACATTCACTCTCAAACAAGGAATCTGCCCTCACGTTACTCTAAACAATGTCCAAATACCCTCATCAAATACCTTGGGGTACACTTTGACAAAAAGCTAAACTGGGCACACCTCATACACTCCACCAAAATTAAACTAAACTTACGTCTTAACATTCTGAGAAGATTTCTTCATTCTAACTCGAAGTTGCCCCTTCACACAAAACTAACCGTTTATAAACTCTTACGGAGTCCAAATTTGTATGGGGCTCAGCTAAGAATTCGAACCTTAACAAAATACAAGTCTCACAGAATAAAATACTCCGTCTCATCACTAATGCACCACCTTATATATCAAACCATACTCTACACTCTGATTTACAAATAAAAACAATAACACAAGTTGCCAAAGACTACTACAGACGTTACCACAATTCTCTTCAAAATCACCCAAACCCCCTTGTAAATAATCTCACATTACCCTCAATGCCCAACAACCCACCAAAAAGACTTAAAAGGAAGTGGTGCAAAGACCTTCTCACTATCAATTAATTAAAAAATGACGTTAATAAGAGTGTTGTCAGTGCACGGCTTCTCTTTTCATACTTTCAATGTTTATAATTTACCTGTGTCATCATATATACTTATTGTACTAAAACTGTATAGATCGTATATGTAAAATAAAGAAAAAAAATAATAATGCAAAAATACTTGTATGAATTTCACCGATAATTCATCATTATTGATTTGGTAGCCGAATATAAGTATTATCATAATGTCTTTAAATCTAATAATAGTTAAGTTTCGGACGAGATAAGAAGAAACAAATATTCTTATGTTACAAAATATTCGTTATGATTGGTGAAAATAAAATAAAATTGTGTATACCTTACAACTTAATAACTTACAATCAGATTTGTATATCATTCAAATAAAACTTCAACTAAAACTTTATATAAATAATTAAAATAATTTTCAAAACAATTTTTCTTATAATTTCAAACAAAGTTTTTCGAATAAAAAGTATTGACATAATTTTAAATTTAACTATCAAATAATTTTTAATAATATTATTTAACTGGTTTGCAAGGTTTTTTTTTCAAGTAACTATATTTTGAAACATTATTTTGTATAAATCCAAAGTATACTATATTTAAAACTATTATTTATATAAATATGGGAAGGCAATTTTTTATTACAATAAAATTGTATTCAAATAAGAATTTGCACAATTCTGCTTACAATAAATTTGATTGCGATGGATGTTATTTTAGCTTTTCAATATTTCTGAATGTTTAGATACATACCACCGTTCTCGTAGAATCTTCATCCGCTAACACCGTAAGAGCTTTTTCTGCTCTATCGTTTATCTTTCCTATACCAAATAAATTTGAGCCATACGTTAATATGTTTCCTGTACCTGCGGTACTATTTCTCTCTATACAACACGCGACACACAAAAGAAGTATAATACTTTTTGAAAACATTGTATTTCAAAATATATACTTGACGAATATGAGAACTGCTAGAAAATAAAAATATTCTTATTGTTGTTTTGAGTTTCTTTTTAAAGTTTTATATTTCGAGTAAAAAATAATCGTGAACAACAATCATAAATTATCTTTGAATACATATTCTAAAAACAGTTTTTTCGCAACAAGATATATGTGTTTGACGTAGTTTCGAGTATGTACAACAGTGGTGAAAAATAATCATAAAATATCTTACAATAGGTATATATTTTATAGAAAACAACAGCTATTCTTACATGATATCTATAGAGGTCCTACACAAATAACTCGGCCACAGGAATAAAATTGTGTTTATAGACACAAAAAAAAAACACATCATTCTAAAACCAATACCTTCTCAGCTATATCATCGAAGCTAGAAGTCAGGCTTTAAAACAGGTCAAATTACATGTTTTCAAAATCACTGATTTCAACTTATAACATTATTTTTCCATTTAACCCCTTACTTAAAGGGTTGTGGCCAGGGTCTTGGAGAAGGGAAAGGGGTAGATATTTTCCAATTTTGTTAAACAAATTTTTTTCGAGTTAATTCTCCTTTTACCTCACCAAGTGAAATCAAATTTTTAATAAATAAATTAAAAGAAGGGAAATCACCAGGACATGACCTCATAACTAACAAAATCCTCAAAAATTTGCCAAAAAAAAACAATTGTTCTAATAACTTATATTTTTAATTCCATGCTGCGAATTTCTTATTTTCCATTAATATGGAAAATATCCACAATAATTGTTATCCCCAAACCCAACAAATCAAAAAATGAGATTACTTCCTATAGACCTATCAGCTTACTCCCAACTCTCGCCAAATTGTTTGAGAAAATTATACTCATAAGGATAAGACCAATATTACATGCCCACAACATAATTCCTAATTCCCAATTTGGCTTTAGATCCAATCACTCGACTGTTCACCAAATTCACAGACTAACAGATCAAATTTGTTCTTCTTTTGAAAAAAAACAATATTGTCCAGGGGTATTTTTGGATGTGGCCCAGGCCTTTGACCGTGTATGGCATGAAGGCCTACTCTTCAAACTCAAATTGTTTCTACCTGCCCCATATTACTTAATAATTCGTTCTTACTTAGAAAATAGAAGTTATAGAGTCAGATATGGTAATTCCTTTTCACCATACCACCAAATTAAAGCAGGAGTGCCCCAGGGCAGTGACCTCTCCCCTGATCTATTTAATGTTTTTACGGCTGACATTCCAAAAACACCAAACACTATTATGGCTACTTATGCAGACGACACTGCAATACTCTCCCCAGGAAATGATCCAGAAGTTACTTCCAATTTCCTTCAAACTCACTTAAATCTAATTGATTCCTGGTCATCTAATTGGAGAATTAAAATTAATCCAGATAAATCTGTGTACGTTCCCTTCACACTAAAAAAATCTGTTCCACCCCCTCCCCAATTCCAAGGAATACTTATTCCAATATCCTCGGAAGTCAAATATCTTGGTGTCACACTCGACAAACGATTAACTTGGGGCTCCCACATTAAATCTAAAAGAAAAATTCTCAACAGCAGACTCCATTTACTACGTCCAATCCTCAAATCAAAATTACCTTTCCACAATAAAATTATTATATACAAATCCCTATTAAGGCCTATTTGGGCATATGCAATCCAAATTTGGGGATGTGCAAAACCATCCCAACTTCGTACCTTACAAGCTTTCCAATCTATCACTCTACGTATTATCTCTTCTGCCCCATGGTATGTATCAAACTGCACACTTCAAAATGACTTTAAAATAGAACCAATAAACCACTTAGCCATAAAACACTACAAAAAATTTCATTCCAAATTACACACTCATTCTAACCCTTTAATATCTCAACTTGCTTCTAATTCACTCCCCGGAAATCCACCTCGCCGACTCCGAAGACATTGGTGTCGAGATCTGTTAATACAATAATTCAAATTAATCTAATTAAAAATAATTAGAACAAAAATCACGTTGGGTTCTATTACTGGATAGCCTCCCTCCTCATATCAAATCACCGTTTCTATTTGTTTATTTTTTTTTCCCTCTCTCTGTATATATAACAATGTAACTATTTGCTTATTATGCCTTGCAGCATAGATTGTAAATACTCTTTAATAAATAAAAAAAAAAAAAAAAAATTCTCCTTTTGTGATAATACTATACGTATGTATACTAAATTTCAAGTTTGTAAACCTATAATAGTATACAAAATCTACATAGTCAGTTCAAGTCATTTTTTGGGCTCTATTTTTTATAAATATATATTCATTTTAATTCTAGTTAAAACGACTGTATTATACAAAAATCGACGATACGTTTTGTATCATTTTATTATGTAGACAAAAGACCAATAACTATTGGTATCACACTATTTTAAGTTTACTATTTGTGTTTCTAATTGTTTGAATTTTCTTGCATGATAGTACCATATTGTTACGAATATTATAGCGAATACTAATTTTGTATAAAAACCAATAATAATTCTTAAAAAATATTTTTTCAGATACGTATAATATCTTGTTTTCTAGTTCCCATATATTTAATTATTGTGTTCACAACATAATTATAAATGTATAGCTAGCTTTTGTGTAAACCAAAGTTTTACTAAAATTGAAAGAATCACATAACATGTACTTTTTGTTCATCAACTAAGTGTGGACTAGAATTTATTTTACCCGTATTATAGGTATATGTTAGACCTATCTTAGACTAATTTCTAGATCTTAAACTTTAAATTGCGCCAATGTTCTCTAACTATTTTAAACATTTTTCGCGAAGATATTATAACAAATCATAGATGGTGGTTAAAAAAACCAATAATTGTTGGAAGCTAAAAGTCAGGATTTTACTTTAACAGGCTTCAAAATAAATCAGATTATATACAACAAATGTGATGCCAACAATATTTCGTTTTTTTTATGTGCAGTACAAGACTAAAATTTGAAATTAAATATCAAAAAAAACCCAGCTGTGACTCTATTACAATAACAAGCACTTTATAGACAACTGTTTAAACAGCCACGGCTTATGTATCCTAAACATAATTATAAAGAACAAAAAACAACTAAATATTATAACGTATATACCTTCTCAGCCAAGCAATAAACAATATGAAAAAAACAAAATGTGTTTTTGTGAATCACACCGAGAATAAATTATATTCAAATTGTTTTTTTGTGTTTCATACCTATAATATAATATACATGTGACCTAAATAGGTTGAATACTATACCATTAATTGGTTAGAATATTCAATAATAATAGTATCGCCATAATATTCAACTCTATGGATCTATATATCTGATAAAGTTCTAAAACTCTTTACTGCACTTTTACATGCCAAGATGATTCTAACAAGTTGCAAGACCTTAAATAATAATATCCGTTTAAGACATTCGATACTATACCTGCGTCACTATTTTTCACTGTAAAACACACGACCCACAAAAGTAGCATAATATTTTTTGAAAACATTGTAATGCAAAATATGTACTTGACGAGTATGAGAACTGCTAGGAAATGAAAATGTTTCTTATTGTTGTTTTACAACCTTATATTTCCAACATATTTCGGGTAAAAAAAAATAAAAAATCTGTGAACAACAATCATAAATTATTTTTGAATACATATTTTAAAACAACTTTTTCGCCTAACATTTTATTTTTCTGACCTAGTTTCAAGTGTGTACAACATTTGTGAAAAACAGTTATAAATTATCTTACAATAGGCATAGAAAAAAACAACTATTACTTAAATGAGGTCCTACACAAATAAAAAATAAAATTATTGTGTTTACACTTTACAGACACAAAAAAAACCACATCATTCTAAAAGCAATACAATCTCAGCTATATCATCGAAGCTAGAAGTCAGGCTTTAAAATAGGTCAAATTTTTTTTTTTTTAATCACTGATATCAACTTATAAAATTATTTTTCCATTTGACCCCTTACTTAAAGGGTTATGGTCAGTGTCTTGGAGAAGGGAAGGGTGTAGATAATTCCCAATTTTGTTAAAAAAATGTTTTTTGAGTTATTATCCTTTTGTGATAATACTATACGTATAATAATTTTCAAGTTTGTAAATCTATAATAGTACTCAAAATCCACATATAGTGTTCAAGTCACTTTTTGAGTTTTTTTTATTATACATATATATTCATTTTAATTCTAGTTAAAACGACTGTATTGTACAAAAATTGACGATACGTTTTGTATCATTTTATTATGTAGACAAAAGACCAATAATTTTTGGAAGCTTAAAGTCAGGATTTTACTCTAACAGGCTTCAAAATAGGTCAGATTATATACAACAATATTTCGTTTTTTTTATGTGCAGTACAAGACTAAAATTTGAAATTAAATATCAAAAAAAAACCAGCTGTGACTCTATTACAACAACAAGCACTTTATAGACAACTGTTTAAACAGCCACGGTTTATGTATCCTAAAAATAATTATAAAGAACAAAAAACAACTAAATATTATAACGTATATACCTTCTCAGCCAAGCAATAAACAATATGAAAAAAACAAAATTTGTTTTATGATTCACACCGAGAATATATTGCATACATATTTAAATATTTTTTTATGTTTCATAAAAAAATATTTATAAAAAAAATATAATATACCCGTGACCTAGATAGGTTGAATACTATACCATTAATTGCTTATAATATTCAATAATAATAGTATGTTTTCCCGGTTTTGAGGATGAAGTAGTTGTCTTTTTTAACTTTAACTATTTTATAACTCTTAGAAGGAGTACAAGTTTTTTTAATATTTCGGTTTTTTATGTGTAGTACAAGACTTAAGTTTTAAATGAAATATTTCATAAGAACACCAGCACGCCCGCTTTTAAAATTTTAGCAAATCAAATATGGCGGTTGAAAAACCGGTCAATTTTTTGGGTTTTTTTACCATTTTTTATTGCAGCTCCAAGAAGGAGTTTTCAATATTTCGTTTTTTTTGTGGAATACAAGACTCAAGTTTGATATTAAGTATACAAAGAAAACCAGCTGTGACCCTTTTACAATAACAAGCTCTTCATAGATAAGTATTTTAAAAGCCACGGCCTTGCTTAATAATATGAAAAAAACAAAATCGGTTTTTGTGATTTACACCGAAATTATGTAAACAAAATGTTTTTTGTTTTACATACCTATAGATATACCCCTGACCTTCCTGTCTTCTTTATGCTCCGTCCCTGCTATGCCCCGACCCTACTTTACTGTCTTTGTTTTTATTTGTTAATAATAATTAAAAAGGGTTTAAAGCTATAGTTTAAAGTTGAGTTAAGTATTGTTCAGCCAGCCACATAAAAAATTTTCAAAAATCAGTTATCTAGGCTGAATACTACAATTGTTTCAGGTCATATAGACAACTGAACAAGCATACTCGTGACTTTTGAGTGTAAAACCACTGTACTGCAAAAATGAGCTGTTTGAGGAAAATGATAACTGTGAACAATTTTACTCAGAGTACAATACAACAAAACCTCTAACGTCAAAGGTATAGTACTATATTGTTGCAAATATTATTTATTTTATATTTTATATTTATATATAATAAACGCCAATCGGATTTAGGTAAAGTTAAATATACACAATAACACCGATAACAATTGACAAAGAATGAAATGTGAAAAATACATTTATAACCTATTGCTAAAAATACAATACATGCAATAAAAGAGTATAGTATTCAAAAACATAGGAAGAAAACTGACCAACATAGATGATGACATAATAATAGCAAAAGTACATTAATTAATAGCGGTGGGTAGGTAAAGTTCGGTCGGCTCATTTGCGAGTAACATCATCCTGGTGTGAGGTGCATTTAAAGAAAAATTTGATTAATTGATTTGACTTTGTACATAAAAAAATTAATGAAGGCTGCTGGTACCAGGTACTCGGATGCTGATTGTTCTTGTAATAAAACAATAATATACTAACTATATCATATCTACATTATACAACTATACGAACTATATTATAGCGAATACAAATTCAATTGTTTAATTTATATTTTGTATCTTCTTGAAAAGATCTGGGCTTTAAATCAACTCTTATCTCTTATAGTTTATGATAATATTAAAATATAGGCGCCTATAATATTTAACACACTTTTTGTGAATAACAAATATTTTATTACATTTATGATGTTTATTAAATCTTCAGCAGTTATACAAATTATTTACATAACCGATTGGTTACTGACAAGAGTAGAGTTTAGTTTGAGGTGACATCACTGATTACTCATTATTAGCATATATTCATAAAAATCAATCAAACCGTCGCCTGTAAAAAGTTGAATGTTAATTAATATTTAATAATAATTTTCACTACAATTTAGTTCTTAAGTATTTACGGTTTAAATCTCCATCCATGATCATTTTAGTGACTGGTTCTTCATTGGCTGATTTCTCAGTGTCTGATACCTCAGCGGCTGATTCCTCTGAATCATTGCCAATCCAAGCTTTAACCAGGTCATCAACGTTTATAACGCCATCTTCATCCTGGTCGATTTTACAAAATCCCTCGTATATATGTACCATCTAAATATTTTAAGAAACACATAACATGTTTATAATATTTATATTTTCTGATAAGCTCTAAGATAAGGTAGAATCAATCATACTAATAAAGTAAAAATAATATTAAAATTATTACTACTGACCATTAACGAATCCGCCACCATTTTTAATATTTCCTCGAGCTTCGTCCAATTAATTGGCCATTTTACTATAAACAGTTTGTGGATAATTTAAAAACAAAATTCAATAGGTAGTTAAGTTTTTTACTACCTTTTTGACTAATCAGATTTAGAATTTCTGAAATTTCATTCTCGTCTGAGAACAGTTTTCTAGCTTGTTTATTTTCTTTTATTACTTCCACGAAAGATTCTTTTGAATAAGTGTCATTTTTGTTGACGTTTCCAATCTCCACTTTACTTGTTCTCTAAAAAAAAATTAAGAAACGAATATTATGCCAATTAAGAAATGACTTCTTTTGTAAGGCTTGGATGCAACAAATATTATACAAAATGATTCAAAATTAATACAGTCAAAATCGTATTTTTCTTGTTAGTTTTTTGATTTTTATATCTTAAATGTGGACTTAATTATCTTTTTTAATTGGGAATTGGTTAAGCTGTGGCCGTTGCTGCTTGAACCCGGATGGGTGACCACCCGGATTTTTAGCGGCGACCCACACCATCAACCCCCGATATGCACGGCAGAACTGCCATGCACTCTCTGGCGACCGAACTGGCATAAAGTTAGCTATAGCCCTCCCGGTCAAATACGCCATACGAATATTATATTCATACGAATAAATAAATAAATTGGGAATAATTTGCGGAGAATTTTGACTGGTCTATAACTAATTTTGGACAGTTACTTTTGAAGTTATAAAAGTTCTATAAACTTTTTATACTCATATTTTCTTTTCTTAAGGCACTAAAAAAAAATAAAAACTGTGTGTGTCACGGGACACGCAATCGTTGTAATACACAGATTTTATGGTAAATATAGCTTTTTGATAGACATCTCAATGTATGAATATTATTGATTACTATTGAAGAAAGTATAAAATTAACGTAATACAAATATTTGTATATTTGTTGATAAAATAATTATTTTATTTCTGTCCGAACCATACTCAATTCGACTGATCATCCCTTTATAAAAATCCGTTACACCAAAACCGTTTGGGCCGTTGGTTAGAGTGGTGGAAGTTTGAGGGCGTTTAAAGTTCGGATAGATTTGAAAACTGTACTTTATTATAATAATATCGTACATTGTTTAAAAGTGTTTCGTATTAAATATTCTATAATAAAGTAATTCAAACATTTCTAACATAATTTTGTACAAAAAGTATCAGAATATTATTTTACTGTTATTTCAAATATAATAATATTTCATTTAAATAAATAAATAATACTGTCTGGGAACAGTATTTTAGCATTGGCATTTCTCTTTATTATTTTCACGAAAGATTCTATCGAAAAAATGTCATTTTTGTTGACGTTTTCATTCTCAACTAAACTTTTTTTCTAAAAAAAATATTAGAAACGTACATTATGTCAAATTAGATTTTTTTGTAAGGCTTAGATGCAACAAATATTATACAAAGTTATTTATTTAGAATAATACACTCAAATTTTTATTTTTCTTGTTTATCTGTCGATTTTTATATCTTCAATGTGGACTTATATACTAAACTTTTTTAAATGGGAATAATTTGCTGAGAATTTTTTCTGGTCTAGAACAAGTTTTGGAGGGTTGCTTTTTAAGTTATAAAAATTCTAATACTTTAAAGTTTTACTTTAATAGTTTAAAGTTATCCTCGCCTTTTCTTTTTTTAAGTCCCCATACATGTACAATAGTTATACTTCATATTTTTAAAGTATATTCCTCGTTATTAATAAAACTGAAATTTGTTCAATTATATCATCAATGATCAAATTATAATATAGATTTTTGTATTTGATGAAAGGTTCAACTTATAGTTTAGTTTAAGCAAATTAAGTATAAAGAAAATTCTAGAGTGAAAAAAGGTAGTTATTCTCAACTAAAAATGTTTTCTAAAGTTGGTAGGCCTTCTGGAAAATTGTAATACTTGGGTATTTTATATTATTTTACAGTAGTGTAAATACATTTTTTATAAATAGTAATAAAATCGAACAAACCATTGTCAAAAAATATATTATCGGTTTCATTTTTTTCAACTTTTCCAAGTCTATTTTATTGTTATCTGAAAATAATTATGACATTTTTAAAATTATATTATCGTAGAACATTGTTTTATTTTAATAATAATAATTATTTTTTTATTTTAATAATAATACCCTTTGATTTAAGTAAATTTGTATATATCTCTGCATGGCTAACGGTGAGGAATCCGTTAAACTTATCGAATACTAGTTTCTGTAATTCCTTTGGGGAGATTAAAGTATCGTTATCGGTATCATACTTGATAAATATATTTTTCCATTGCTCGTCTGTGATGACATTCAGATTTTTATTCTAGAATATTATTTATAGTACATTTTATTCGAATCGTTTTATCAATAAAGGGAATAAGTCGAGTTAAAAAGTAAAAACATTTTAAAATCATCTGACAAAGGCGAAAACATTATTTTTTTGCACTAGAAACTTACTTTACTACGTACCTACTTGTTAAACTTTACTTGCCATTCATTGTTTACATCATAGTATCTTACATGAAATGCAGTTTTTGAAAAGTGAAATACATTAGAAGACAGTTTTTTATTCAAATATCATTTTATTCTAATAAGAATTTGCTCAACTCTGCTTACAGTATTATTCATACAATAATCCTAACAATCTCAAAAATATCTTACTATCTATATTGTTTTGTAAAAGGTCTTAATATCTTTTTGGCCCTGTATACTATAATCTTTTAAATATTTCTGAATTTTAGATACATACCACCGTAAAAGCTTCTATATCGCTTATCTTTCCTTTATCAAACAAATTTAATACATACGATAATATCGTTCTTGTACATGTAGTATTACTTTTTACTATAAAACACATGACACACAAAAGTAGTATAATATTTTTTGAAAACATTGTAATGCAAAATATGTACTTGACGCCTATGTAAACGGCTAAGAAATAAAAATTTCCTTATTGTTAATTTGCGTTTCTTTTTACAGTTTTATGTTGCTGACGTATTTTCAGAAAAACAAAAATTGGGAACAACAGTCATAAATTATCTTACAATATAGGTATAGGAAACAACTGCTATTCTAAAATGAAGAAAACAGTATCTCTACTCTACACTCTGCCACCAATCCTAAAATTTAAACTTTGATAATTTTGAAAATAATTATTCAAAACTAGTTATTGAGCTGTCAAAATGTTCAGCAAATTAGTTTTAATTAAAAAAGTTAATTAAATACTAGTATATAGGTTAACTTATAAATAAATTGTTGAACATATTTGATCAGTAAACTGAGACAAAAAAAACATCAGCTTTGCATCGAGTTAAAATTACTACCAAGGAATAGACAAAAAACAATGCTTCTACATATTCCTATAAAAGATAAATATAATCTTATAAGAGATAAAAAAACAACACAAGATTAAAAATTACGAATAAGACAGATGTAAACAAATTATTTTTAATTTTATTCGAAAACGTTGAATATATTTTTACCTTTATTCGTTTTTCGACCTTTTTATCTACATAGATAACGATTTGGCCTAACACTGCAGGATACCGAGTACAACTATAACACGCAACCCCGTCTTGGCATATCAAGATATTCTAACACCGTTCGTTAACTTTAATAAACGGGCTTACACACATTACCACTGACCAAAAGTTCTGTTTATTTATGTATTTATTTTTATTAATTTACTTTAAACATTTGACTTACGATCCGTCAAACCGGTCGTCTTCAGGATTATTTAAAACAAATGTATAACAAATATTTGTATGTGTACGTTTTAACTTTTGATTTACTTATTTATGGTATAAATATCTGTAGTAAATTAACTATATCAGATAAAGTTATATAAATCAATACTGCCAGGGCCGGTGCTAAGAAATATGCAAGGGGAGGGGGGGTGTCAAAATGAAGATGCCGACTTTAAAATTTTAATTACCGACTAAAATATTTGGGTACTTTGGTAAATATTTTATGACATTTTACATCACAAGTCACAATTTTTTGCTAAAATTAATTGGAATTAATAATTGTTGAAAATTATTATTTTTTTAAGTATTAATTAATACAAACAAATTTAGATAGTACAAGTAAAAAAACCATCAAAAGTTAAACTTTAATACGGTGTTTTTTTTAATGCGGACTATTTCTTTGTTATTTCTTCCAAATCAATTACATCGAGAATATCTCTGGTGGAGTTTAAATCATGAGGGTCATTTTTTATTATTTTTAAAAGAATAAGAAGAAAAATGATAATGATGTGATATTGTTATAAATTGTGTAGAAATTTTTTGATTTTTAAAATGTTTTTCGGAGCATAGAAATACTTTAGGCAGCTAACAAATTTATCTATTACTAAATTTTCAGATCTCAGTCACCAATACTAAAACAGTTTGAGCCCTACTTTAAAAGCATTATTTTAAAAATGTTTGAATTTATTTAACATAATTATAACGTATTGCAGTTGAAACTGCAATTTAACCGAGATAACGACGGCCACTGTTTTTTTGGACAACCTAAGAAATAGGAGGAAATGTAATATCTTTACAAAGTCGATCGGATTGATGAAAATAAAAATATATACTTATAGAGGGATAGAATGTTTGTTTACAATAGACCAATAGGTCCCATGACCGAACATAGTTTGAAATAATATACACCACAGTTATTATAAACAAATAATAATACTTCTGCTAAAATCGGGAATAACCGAAAATGCATTGTTTTTTTCTTATACTAAAAACTAAAATTATATTTTCGTATTGTCGTCCTCTGTGTGCCGACTATTTACTATTCAGTCGCCAGATTCCAATAAAAATTATGTACCTACATACTTTTATAAAATAAAAAAATAAATATGTTATTTGTATAATTTTATGGGGGTTATAACCGACTTTTTGTTCCGAATATGCCGATTGTATAAACTTGAGTTTTCCGAGTGGGGGTGTCAACCCCCCCCCCCCCACACCCCCCTCTATGTCCGGCCCTGATTACTGCACTAATGCATGCCAAGATAATTCTAACAAGACCTTAAATAACAATATCCGTTCATCGGTTCTGATAGATTTGATCTAGAAATAGAAATTAATTTCTAGATCTGCGTGGCTAATAAAAATTGATTTAAAATTTGTATTAGGTACTCTATTATAGTTAATAAATTTGTATCAATTTATACATATAGACATGGATTACTAAGCAAATTATTTTTTTTCTTATTTTAAAACTTATGTCCAAAGCAAAAGTAACCAATCCCGTACAATATACATTATTTAGCAAGTGGTTGTTCAGCATATGTAGAAACAGTTTTATTAGGGTACGACTCAAAATGTTATTTGTTAAACAACAAAACTATACACGTTTCCAAAAATATAACTCTCATGTAAATAAGAACATAGTTTCATATTTTTATTTTTTACAATTGTGATTTTATTTCGATAAATTAACTTTTGTTGCCGTAATCATAAATAAAAAAAAATTGTAAAAACCATAATAACCAAATCCTTAAAACATGTTTAAATATCTTATATCATAAATACTTTGTTAATGAACATTAAAGTTGGCTTTTTTTCAATAAAACAATAGTATTCAAAATCCACATGTATAATGTTCATGACACTTTTTGGGTTTTTTTTATTCTAAATATGTATACATTTTAATTCTTGTTAAAAAGTCTTTATTGTACGAAAATCGACGATACGTTTTGTATTGTTTGATAATGTGGGCAAAAGACAAATAACTGTTGGTATAATAAACGCCATTCGGCTTTAAGTAAAGTTAAATATACAAAATGACACTGATAACAATTGACAAAGAATGAACAGTGAAAAATACATTTATAACCTACTGCTAAAAATACAAGACAAGACATATATAAGTATAAAATTCAAATATATTATAAGGTTTCCCCTAGATATACCAATGGAGTGTTCATTCCCGGCACGGGATTTATATGTTGTTCTTTAACGTTTTGGTTAAACGTTGTGCCTAAGATATCAGACTTTGCCCTAGTCAAACCTTCAACATTTAGGTACACTAATCGTGTTGTTCTTTGTGATTCCTTGTATTTTTCGCTGACTGTATAAGGTTTTAAGATTTTGTTTTTTGAATTTTTTTTGTAAGGAATTTTGTTTTTTCTACTCTTTACGCGGTGGCTGCGCACGTCAGGGTAGCCCTGAAAAGGGCTGTTTATGCCGATAAAGCCAGGAGGTCCTGGACGTTTGGCTGTCGGTTTGATGCTAATTCGTTTCGTGTGTTCGTTGGGTACTTAGTAAAGTTGTAGCTTTGAAAATACTCTGAGAACACACTATTTACAGGGGAGATCTTGAGAAGGTTTAGCATCACCTCCCCTGTTGTAATAGAACAATATTATACTAACTATATTATAACTACATTATACAACTATATGTACTATATTATAGCGAATATAAATTTTTGTATAAAAACCAATTATAATACTAAAGATACGTATATCTTTTGTATTTATATATTCCTAGTTACCATATATTATAACTCCTGTAAGGAGAACAAGAATTTTTCAATATTTCGTTTTTTTTTGTGTAGTACAAAACTAAAGTTTGAAATGAAATATTAAAAGTACACTAGCTATGACCCTATTACAATAACAAGCTCTTCATAGACAAGTATTTAAACAGCCACGGCCTATGTATCCTAATATGAAAAAACAAAATGTGTTTTTGTGGTTCATACCGAGAATATATTCAGGGTGTTTCACTTTGATTCGACAAATGAAATAACTTTTGTTCTAACGAATATTTTTATTATTGTGTTAATAATATAATAATAAATGTATAGTTAGCATTTGTGTAAAGTTTTACTAAAATTCTTTTATGACCTATTTTCTATTATCAGACTAATTTCCAGCTCTTAAATTCTAAAATGGCAGACTAACGCACGTTTTGCCGACTCCACGATTAATTGGTTGAAACCAACATCAACCGAGATCTGCTACTTTCCATGTAGACTCTTATCAAATTTGCTTTTGGTATTCAAGTTAATAAATAGTAGCTTTTTCAGGTAACTTATTAAGTCATATATTAATGTATATAATAACTAGTAGTCACAATTAATACTGATTGATAGACTTACTAATCAAGTAAATTAATTCAGCGTTTTAAAAGTTAGATACAGACACAAAAAAACACCAGCTTTGCATTTAGTTTCAATGACTATTTACTATCTAGGGAATATAGAAAAAAATGTATTCAAAATAACGAATGAAAGATTAAAAAATTACAATTAAGAAATAAACGAACTATTTAATAGGCTCGAAGTACTACTAACGCCCAACCCCGTCCTGGAACAGATATCCCAACACCGTTCATTACTGTTAATAACGTGCCTACGCCCAGTACCACGTACCAAAAGTTGTGTTAATTAATAATTTACTTTAAACACTTAACTTGCGATTCGCAAAATGGGCCACCGGCAGAATAATTTTCTTATGTATACGTTCCAACATTTGATTTATTTATGATATACAACTGGAAAGATCTGTAGTGAATGAACTATATCAGATGAAGATCTAAAACTCTTTAGTGCACTTTTTCATGTCAAGATGATTTTAACAAGTAACAAGACCTTAAACAACAATATCCGTTAAGAGGGCGTCGCACTGCCCATTTTTAAAGAGTAATGTATAAGCAATTTTTTACAAATTATTAATTTAATGGTTAAACTGTGATGTGTAATTATGAGTTCAATAACTAGGACTCTATTTTGATGGTTAATTTATTTTTTGATTTTTCACAGCATCCTTGAAAGCGATTTAAAAATGTTTTTTCATCTCTACTTGTTTAAGCAGACTGAAAATAACTCGCTTAATTTTGGATTTGGAGTAAAAGCACCCATTATAAAATTAAAAGAAAACAATATTTCGGAGGGCAAGACGGTTTTTTCATTATTCTAAGTATAACGCTCAATACATAGTTTAGAAATAGCGACTATTTTAACATTTTTAAATGACTGTAACTTTTCAAAAATATATTTTTTTTAAAAAAACGCACCGTCTTGCCCTCCGGAATATTGTTTTTTGTAATTTTATAATGGGTGCTTTTACTATAAAACCAAAATTAAGCGAGTTATTTTTAGTCTGCTTAAACATGTTTTTACCACTGAACATCACCGGTGCGACGCCCTTTAATTGGTTACAGAGATCTGCGTAACCAAAGATGAATTTAGATAAAATTTATATTTTGTATATTCTAGAAAATCTTGAAATCAACTCTTTTTCTCTTATAGTACTAAATATAGAAAATTTAAATATAGGCGTTTACATAATTTAACACACTAGTTTTTTGTGAGTATGGGTGAGAAATATTAAAAAAATATACACCCAAAAAATTTTATTACATGTGTTATTTTTATTAAATCTTCAGCAGTTACACAAATTAATTAAATAATTGATTGATTGACAACCGTGTATTTCTATTTAAATGTATGTATGAAATGTTCATCGAATGTACTTAATATCCTGGTGCATAGTGCATTCTTCAATATTCTTTTTGCAGTCTATTTGTACTATCTGAAACAGATATACATTTTTAAAATATGTTCTTGGCTTGCACAAACAAAAATTCTTAAAAACTTTACAAATTATTGGTATTTATGTAAAATTGTTATATTTTTCAATGATTAAAGATTCTCTTGAATCGAGAGTAGAGTTATGTTATCAAGTGACATCTCTAAATCTCCGTCCAGGTTATAATCATTACTCATTAATATCAGATATTCATAAAAATCAATGAAACCATTGCCTGGAAAAAATGTAATGTTAATTAATAATAATTTCCGCTAAAATGTTGATCTTAAGTATTTACGGTCTAAATCCCCATTCTTGATAATTTTAGTGATTGTTTCGATAATGGATGATTCCTCATAGGCTAATTCCTCATCGGTTGATTCCTTATTGTCTACTTCCTCATTGGCTGATTCCTCATTGACTGATTCCTCATAGGCTAATTTCTCATCGGCTGATTCCTCATTGTCTACTTCCTCATGGGCTAATTCCTCATTGGCTGATTCCTTATTGACTAATTTCTCATTGGCTGATTCATCTGAATCATCGTCGATCAATGCTTTAACCATGTCTTCAACGGCAATACGACCATCTTGGTCCTGGTCGATTTTACAAAATCCCTCGTAATACTCTACCATCTAAATATTTTAAGAAACACATAACATGTTTATAATATTTATATTTTCTGATAAGCTCTAAGATAAGGTAGAATCAATCATACTAATAAAGTAAAAATAATATTAAAATTATTACTACTGACCATTAACGAATCCGCCACCATTTTTAATATTTCCTCGAGCTTCGTCCAATTAATTGGCCATTTTACTATAAACAGTTTGTGGATAATTTAAAAACAAAATTCAATAGGTAGTTAAGTTTTTTACTACCTTTTTGACTAATCAGATTTAGAATTTCTGAAATTTCATTCGCGTCTGAGAACAGTTGTCTAGCTTGTTCATTTTCTTTTATTACTTCCACGAAAGATTCTTTTGAATAAGTGTCATTTTTGTTGACGTTTCCAATCTCCACTTTACTTGTTCTCTAAAAAAAAATTAAGAAACGAATATTATGCCAATTAAGAAATGACTTCTTTTGTAAGGCTTGGATGCAACAAATATTATACAAAATGATTCAAAATTAATACAGTCAAAATCGTATTTTTCTTGTTAGTTTTTTGATTTTTATATCTTAAATGTGGACTTAATTATCTTTTTTAATTGGGAATTGGTTAAGCTGTGGCCGTTGCTGCTTGAACCCGGATGGGTGACCACCCGGATTTTTAGCGGCGACCCACACCATCAACACCCGATATGCACAGCAGAAATGGCGACCGGCGACCGAACTGGCATAAAGTTAACTATAGCCCTTCCGGTCAAATACGCCATACGAATATTATATTCATACGAATAAATAAATAAATTGGGAATAATTTGCGGAGAATTTTGACTGGTCTATAACTAATTCTGGACAGTTACTTTTGAAGTTATAAAAGTTCTATAAACTTTTTATACTCATATTTTCTTTTCTTAAGGCACTATAAAAAAATAAAAACTGTGTGTGTCACGGGACACGCAATCGTTGTAAAACACAGATTTTATGGTATATATAGCTTTTTGATAGACATCTCGATGTATGAATATTATTAATTACTATTGAAGAAAGTATAAAATTAACGTAATACAAATATTTGTATATTTGTTGATAAAATAATTATTTTATTTCTGTCCGAACCATACTCATTACGACCGATTATCCTTTTATAAAAATCCGTTACACCAAAACCGTTTGGGCCGTTGGTTGGAGTGGTGGAAGTTTGAGGGCGTTTAAAGTTCGGATAGATTTGAAAACTGTACTTTATTATAATAATATTGTACATTGTTTAAAAGTGATTCGTATTAAATATTCTATAATAAAGTAATTCAAACATTTCTAACATAATTTTATACAAAAAATATCTTAATATTATTTTACTGTTATTTCAAATATAATAATATTTCAACTAAATAAATAATTAATAAAATTATTAAATTATATTTATTTTATTTTTTATTTTTTAGATGTAGGACTTTGAAATGTTTTCTATATCTTAAGAATATATATTATATACAAATATACTCAAATATTGAGTATGAAGCGCCTGTCTGTGTTCAATTGTTTCTACTTTTAATATGTTACTTTTAAATATTTTAAATATTATATAACAGGGATTTTGTGTCCAACATTTAAATAATAATACTATCATTAACATTATTATTATTTTATTATTAATAGTACGTATATTGACGTTATCATTAAAATTTCTAAAGTTTGTTGACCTTCTAGAAAATTGTAAGACTTAGGTATTTTATAATATTTTACAGTATTAAAAATACATTTTTTTTAAACGAAAAACTTTAAAAATTGATCTCCTAGTATAGTAACAATAATATAACTGAATACAAACCTTTGTCAATAAATATATTATCGGTTTCATGTTTTTAAACATTTCCAATTCTGTTTTACTTTTATCTGAAAATAATTATGACATTTGTAGATTGTTTATCGTAGAACATTATTTTATTTTTAATATTACCCTTTGAAATTAAAGTTTTATATATATCTGCATCGTGAACTGTGAGGAATCCACTGAACTCATTGAATACCAAATTCTGAAATTCTTTTGGGGAGATTATACCATCCTCATCGGTATCATACTGTTTAAATAAATTTGCCCATTGCTCATCTGTCATGTCTTTCAGTTTTTTATTCTAAAATATTATTTACAGTTCATTTTATTCGAGTCGTTTTATCATTAAAGGGAATAAGTAGAGTAAAAAAGTAAAAAAAAATTGTAATCATCAGATAAATGCGAAAACATTTTTTTTTGCACTGGGATCCTCTTATATTTTTTCCCCTAAGTACTTGTTTTGTTTGATTTTTGAGGGAACTTAAACCATTCTTATCGTCGTCGTACGTAATTTCACTTGTCGTTCATCGTTTACATCCTAGTATGTTACATGAAATACATTTTTTAAAAAACGCTTATTAAAGAATATAGTATGACGTGTAAAAAAAATGTTGGAAAATACAATAAATTGGGTTTCTACTGAATTAAAAGATTAAAAAAATCTGAAAAATGCAAAACGATTTTTCTTTATACATTTAAAACATGAAACATATATGTTATTTTCAAATTGTTTTTATGTTTATTCTGTGTTTTTGTTAGAAACTCACTGCTGAATTCCTATACAGATAAAAAATATGAAAAGCATTAGAAAAACTTAAATTAAAAACTTTAAAGGCGGTATCACAGCTACGTTGTCTATCATGTCGTGCGATTTAAGAAGTGGGCGTGGCCACTTAAGGTTACTAATGGTAACTGTTCAATACCAATTTGGTAATTATCTATCGTGGTGACCTAATCAGTGAATGCCATAGAGTACTCGCGAAATACATTTAAATTTGATAAAATAGTTACTTCTAAGTATACCGTATACGGCCCATCAATGACAAACCGGCATTTAATGCAGATAGTGATAGTAATAAATATGTTCAAATTGATAATTGATAAAAAATCAATTGACCGCGGCTACCAAACTTTAACCACACATACCACACGATACAAAAGTTGAGCTCAGCTCAACTCTAGCAATAACCCGGTAGGTCATTGTTACTCAATGATACCGTGATTACAACGGCCAATCAGAAGACGATATAAGGCACACGACACGACAGACGACGTAGCTGTGATACCGCCTTAATTCTATATATTATACTAAAGTGTATTGAATAAATAATGCAAAAAAAACTTTTATGAATTTCACCGATAATTCATCAAAGTTGATTTAGCTGAAAATAATAACTATCATAATGTCTTTTAAGCCTAGTAATAGTGACGAGATAAGAAAAAACAAATATTTCTATGCTACTAAATATTCGCTATGATTGGTGAAAATAAAATCCCCAACAAAAACCTAACAGTGAAAAAAGGCCAAGTTCTAGACCCCCTCCCAGAAATGTCAGCCTATCAATGTAGTGATATCTACATTGTGGCCAAGTCTGCTATTTCTTCAGTTCATTACCACACTTCACTCCTACTTTCATGAGCAACACTGCTCTTTTATTTGTATTGCTTAACATTTGGCCAGTTTGTGAATGAAACATGACCTTTCTGAATGAAGCATAGAACAGACTTGGCCGCAATGTAGATACCACTACTTGATTGGTTGACTCTTTGGAGAGGGAATCTGAACCTTTTTCTTTTTTTCTGAGTTCTCTTCTTCCCATCACCCACATAACTTCTAAGTGAGTACATTTGATAATGATGTTTCATGCTTAATTCAGAAACTGGCCAAGTGTTAAGCAATACAAATAAAAGAGCAGTGTTGCTCATGAAAGTAGGCGTGAAGTGTGGTAATGAACTAAAGAAATAGCAGACTTGGCCACAATGTAGATATCACTACTTTGATAGGCTGACATTTTTGGGATGGGGTCTAGAACTTGGCCTTTTTTCACTGTTAGGTTTTTGTTGGGGATATCATTCCTTTTTGCGGGCTTCAGTAGCTTTTTTTTCTTACGAGGCATTGAATGGATATTGTATGCTGTAGATTTTCTTTTGTTTTTACGTGTTGTTATATTAACTACGTAGATATGTACATAATGTATATGTATATATAATGTATATATGTACATAATACTACACTTTGTAGTGAAGCTAGAATTTATACAAGTAGCCACTATAAATCTAGTTTTTTAGTATTATAGACGTATAAACGAAACCTAAACGTTTAGGTGTAATATTACACTTTTTAATACACCGCGGGACAAACGTAACTAGAACAAAAAACACTGCTACACTGTTATACATGTGAACGCGAATTATCAAAGACACAAACTACGACCAAATGATGGCTGACTAGAGACGTGGGCATCAACAGCGCCCTGTACCTGCAGTAGCGCGGCGAAAGTCATTAATCCCCACCTGGCGCATTCATTTTGAGAAAATTGCAATTTTCAGATTTTTCCCTTTACTTACACTATAAGACACACCTTTGTGCCAAATTTCACGTTTCTATCTATTCGGGAAGTGTCTTATAATTTTGATGATGAGTGAGTGAGTGATAAAAATGCATATTTTGAAATCCTCCCATTTTAAAACGGCTAAATATTAAGGCCTCAATTTTAGACAGTGTCCTAAACTATTTAAGATTAATTTAGATTTCAAATTCTAAAAGCCTATCTTAAGAAGTAGCAGATATATGAGAGTTCGAAATACCGGTTGAATTGGTTTGTGTAAAGATACACTGGCATTCCTGGAACTTGGCCGGCGCACTGCCGTGCGCTCAGATAAAATTGTGTATACCCCAATAACTTACAATCAGATTTGTATATCACCCGAATAAAACTTTATCTAAATAATCTTTTACTTGAATAATTTTAGAAATAATTATTCGAATAAAAGATTTTCTGAATACTTTTACAAATAATTTAAGTTATTTTCAAAATAATTATTCTATTTATTATTTCAAACGTAGTTTTTCAAATAAAAAGTTATTGAAATAATTTCAAATTTAATTATCAAATAATTTTTTTAAATATTATTTTAATAGTTTGTAAGGATTTTTTCCAAGTAACTATATTTTGAAATATTGTTTCGTATAAAACCTATATATACTTTATTTAGAACATTTTTAAAACCAGTATAATATATACAGTGGCCCACAATGATTTGACAGATGAAATAACTTTTGTTCTAGTGAATAATATTGACATTTTTTTATGTTAATAATATTATGTATACTCATTTGCACTATAAGCCCCACGGTTTTTACTGCACTTACCTGTTTTACTTTTTTTTAATTTTTTTATTATATATTTTAATTTTTTTTCAAAAGTTAACTGCGTAGAGTTATTTTTATCTGCGCGCGTTACCTACCGCACTCCTCCTCCCGTCACCAGTCATCCTCACTTCCAAATGAATATAACTTTAAAACGGATGAATAAAAATACAAATTTTTTTTACCAGTTCTTTTATAAAAAAATATTTTGAATAAAATGGCTATCTTGAAAAAAAATTTTAAAATGCATTAAAAAAAACAAAAACATTATTATAAAAAGTAAAACAGGTAAGTGCAATAAAAACCATGGTGCTATAGCGCAAAAAAGTATAAATTATTTTTAAAAAAAAATCTCAAAAATATTCATTAGAATAAAAATTATTTTATTTTTCAAATCATTGTGGGCCACTCTGTATATAAAATATTAATATATAGGAAGACAATTTTTTATACAAATAACATTTTATCCTAAGAATTTGCACAACTCTGCTTACATATTATTCATACAATATTCTCATAAATAAGTTACCATCTATATTTTATTGCAATAGGTCTTTATGTAATTTTGACCATGTATATTAAGCTTTTAACTATTTCTGAATGTTCAAATACATACCCCTGTACTCGTAGAACCATCATCCACTATCCGCTAATAATTAATTTAAAAAAAAAATGTTGTATAATTGAAGCTTTTAAATATTTTTTAACTTTAGATACATACCTCACTAGTAGCAGTTTCTTCTTTCTCTGCTGGTATCTCTCCACTACTTGCGGTTTCCACCGTTCCTGCTGGTATATCTCCACTACTTGCGGTTTCCACTGTCCCTGCTGGTATCTCTCCATTACTTGCGGTAATACTTTTCACTGTAAAACTCACGACACACAAAAGAAGTATAATACTTTTTGAAAACATTGTAATGCAAAATATGTACTTGACGCGTATGAGAACTGCTAGGAAATCAAAATATTCTTATTGTTATTTTGCGTTTCTTTTTACAGTTTTATACTTCTGATGTATTTCAAGAAAAAACAAAAATTGAGAACAACAATCATAAATTATCATTGAATACACATATTTTAAAATAGTATATTCGCACCTAGTATTATGTTTCTGACGTAGTTTCGAGTATGTACAGCAGTTGTGAAAAACAATCATAAATTATCTTACAATTCGTATAGGAAACAACTGCTATTAACTTTAGCATGAAGAAAAAAAAATACCTCTACTCTCCGCTCTGCCATCTGTCCTAAAATTTAAACTTTAATAATTTTTAAAATAATTATACAAAACTAGTTATTTAGGAGTCAACATGTTCAGAAAATTAGTCTTAATTAAAAAAGTTAATTAAATATAAAATAGGTTAACATTTAAATAAATTGTTTAACGTATTTGTTTAGTTAACTTAGACAAAAAAAACATTTGCATTGAGTTAAAATTGCTACCTAGGAATAGACAAAAAACAATATCTGTTCATCGGTTCTGATAGATTTGATCTAGAAATAGAAATCTTTTTCTAGATCTGCGTGGCTAAAGAAAGTTTGATTAAATTTTTTCATTATGTTTAAATTATTTAAAAATGTTTCGTGTCTACAGACGCAAAAAAAAATTCAGGACTTTACTCAGACAGGCTTCAAATAGTTCAAACTATATGTTTTAGAGGTCACTTATTTCAACTTTTGACATTATGTTTCCATTTGACCCCTTACTTATGGGGTTGGGTTATGGTCTGGGAAAAAGAGGGGTGGATAATTTCCAATTTTGTTAAAAAAAATGTTTTTGAGTTATTCTTCTTTTGTGATTATATAATAGGTCATATACTAAATTTCAAGTTTGTATACCTATAATAGTATTCAAAATCCACATATAGTGTTCAAGTCACTTTTTGGGTTTCTTTTTATTATAAATTTGTATACATTTAAATTATAGTTAAAATTTCTGTAATATACAAAATCGACGATAAGTTTTGTAACATTTTATAATATAGACAATAGACAAACCACTGTTGGAATAACACATTTTTCAAGTCTTTTACGTTAAGGGGGCTCCATACAGACCATTTTTTCAGTCAAAACACATAATTTTCATTCAATCGCACAGGCCTAACCAGTGATTCGATAAGCAATCTAAAAACAGATTTGAATTTGTCATGAAGTTTACTTAGGATCGGTAGAGGTACTTTTTTCAATTTTTAATTTTAACCCTTTCTAAATTTTATTTTAAAATGTTGAAATTTTATAAAATGTTCAAACGTGTTTTATACATAGTAGAAATAAAATATCAAAAAAGTACGTCGACCGATCTCAAGTAAATTTCATGACAAATTCAAATCTTTTTTTATATTACTTATCAGATTACTGGTTGAGCCTGTGCGATGGAATAAAAAATGTATGTTGTATTAACTAAAATGGCTTTTACTCATAGACAAAATGGTTTAAATTAAAAATAATACCTTGAAGCTTATACAAATTAACCGATAAATTTATTGACATGGTCGAAATTTATTTAAACCAATTTTTTCTTCAATATTGCCTATACAAAACTCCTTAAAAATGGTCTATATGGAGCCCCCTTAAGAAAGCTGTTGTATTTTACAAATACAATTAGTACAGTTTTACTTTTTTTACTAAGTAGTTTTTTGGCCATATCTTGTTATATTATTTGTGTTTCTGATTGTTTGATTATACTTGCATGATAGTGCCTTATTGTTACAAATATTATAGCGAATACAAATTTTGTATAAAAACCAATAATACTACTTAAAAAATGTTTTTTTTTTATTATTGTGTTCATAATGTAATAATACATGTATAGTTAGTCTTTGTGTAAACAAAAGTTTTGCTGAAATTGAAATAATCCAGATGTTTTATTTGAAATATACAAAATATTGACTAGATTTTTTATTTCCCGTAATATAGGCGTATGTTGGACCTATCTTTGGACTAATTGGCAGATCTTAAATCCTTAAATTGCGCCAATGTTCTCTAAAAATGTTAAAAAACTTTCGCGAAGACATTATAGCAAATCAAGTATGGCGTTTGAAAAACCGGTCAATTTTTGGGGGTTTTTACCATATTTTATTGCAACTCCAAGAAGGAGTACATGTGTTTTTAATATCTCTTGTTTTTAGTGTTATACAAGACTAAAATATGAAACTAAGTATACAAAGAACACCTGCTGTGACCCTATTACAATAACAAGCTCTTCATAGACAAGTATTTTAACAGCCATGGCCTATGTATCCTAATATAAAAAAACAAAATGTGGTTTTGTTATTTACACCGAAAATATATATACAAAATGTTTTTTTGTGTTTCATACCTATAATATAATATACCCGTGACCTTTCCATCGTCATTACGCTCTGTCACTACTATGCCCTTACCCCACTTCCCTTACAATGTTATTATTTTTGAATAACTAATTAAGGGGGTTTAAGTCAAGGTGGTGAAGATATAGCACACCAAAAATATTAGATTTGATTATACAATTTTGGAATTATTAACATAATACTAGGTGATTAGTGACGGAAAGGATTAATTAGCTTGCATCAAATTAAAATAGAACATTTTTTCGAATTCATAGCAAGTAAAATTGAAAGATTAAACTAGTAGTCACAATTAGTACTAATTGATATACTTATTATCAAGTAAAGGTTCGAAATACAACTAATGCAGAAGCCCGTCCTGGAATATTAGGATATCCTAACACCGTCCATTACCGTTAATAACGGGCCAGTATTTTGTATATTCTCGAAAGGCACTTTACAATGAGCTTTAAACAACTCTTTATCCCTTAAAGTTTATGATAATATTGAAATATAGGCGTTTATAACATTCTACAGACAGACTTTTGTGAGTATGGGTAAGAAATCCGATCAACCTATAATGTTTTTATATGTATTAAGACAAATATCTATCTACACATTTTTAGTGTCTAGAATTTTTTTTTTTTTTACAAAAAATTCTTTAAGTTACTTAAATTACTTAAAAATCAAGAAAGCAAAAAGTGATAGATAAATTATAAAATCGTATTAATAGTCTATAGTATAGACTTTATATTGACTTTATACACTAACATCTAGAGTATAACTGAACGTCATGTTTGTATAGGTACCCGAATTTCTTCAAAATATACATTTATCAGTTTTAAGTACACAAAGTAGAATATATATTTATATTTACTAAAAATGTCCGCGACGATATTACAGAAAATCAAATATTGCGTTTAAAAAACTGTCAATTTTTAGGGGTTTTTCCAGGTTTTTAGTATAAGGGAATCATTTTACTATTATTCATTATAACTCTTAGAAGGAGTACAAATGTATTCAACAATTCGGTCTTGTGTAGTACAAGACTAAAATTTGAAATTAAATTTTAAAAGAACACCAGCTGTGACCCTATTACAATAACAAGCTCTTCTGAGACAATATTTTTAACAGCTACGGCCTACGTAATCCTAAAGCCTAAAACAAAATAAAACGAACAAAAAACCACTGAATATTATAACGTATATATCTAATACCTTCTAAACTAAGCAATCAAGTAATATGAAAAAAAACAAAATGTGTTTTTGTGTTTCACTGTTCACACCGAGAATAAATATTATACAAAATACCTATAATTTAATATACCCGCGACCATTTCGTCTTCACTATGCTCCGTCTGTACTATGCCACAACCCCACTTTACTGGCTTTGTTTTTGACATTTTCATGCCTTAGCTCTGGGGCCCTATTCTGAACGCTATACGAACGGTTCGTATACGAACATTTACCATACGGAAAAAAAAATCGCCGTTAGAACACAATATACGGACGGTTCGTATGTACGGTGGAAAAAATGGTATATAATATTACATGTAAAAATATTTTGTGTCCGTATACCCTAAGACGATCGTATACCTAAAAAAATATGTTCCGTATACGGATTGTTTCGTATACGAATCGATAGTTCTAACGACACGTTAAAAATAGATTATGATACTAAACTCCTCATATTAGAACAATTCTATACGGATCTCCAACGGATGGTCATAGCCATGTGAACCGGGTTCCGTATAGTCTTATCGTATGCCTTGTCATATTACCATCAATTACGTTATTTTATATAAGAAGTATTGAAATATGATTAATATTTTTAATAATAATTATTATTATTAATAACAATAATTATTAATAATTAATAATATTTTGAATAATAATAATTTGAATACAAATGGTACAATTTGGCATTATTTAAAAATGTATGGTTTTATGTCCTATTTAAAATAATAACCCCATTTTTATTATTTTAGCAATAACTTAGGTTTATTTAGGAAAATTTTAAGTAAAACAATATTTAATCTAAATGGGAGATGTTAGGAAATCATTAATTGTAATTTTTATTGACGTTTAATTAAGATCACAAATATAATCTTAATCGTTAATTAATATAAATATTAATAATTTTGGGGTTAATATAAATATAAATTAATACTTATATTAATTAAAAATAAAATTTGTAGCTTAGTTCGTTATAACACTGAAGGCCTCAAAATGTCTTAAATAAGAACTAGAAATGCATCAAAAAATAAGAAAGCAATATGGTGATACGCACATTTTTAAAAATAATTTATTTTTTATAATATTCATAGCAGTACTTGCGACCACGCAATAGATAATATGCAAACACAAAATTAATATTTATGTACAAGTTATATATTATATTAACCATTTTCTTTGTATTACAATCTCGAATATTTGAACTATGAAGTTGTAATTGTAAATTAGATTTGCGACGTCAATTTACGGATTTTAAGTGAGTGTACTCAGTATCCCGGTTCGGTTCATGAATCCCATATTTGGAATCAAAGCAATGTTAAGGAGCTCATGGAATATTTACATAAAAATGGAACGTCATACATGTTATATGGTGTGTTATTTATTTGCACGAATTTGTAAAATAAATTGAATTTTTTATAAAATAAAAATCAAATAATAAAGCAAGTAAAACTAAATAGTTCATACAAAAATTAAATTCATTTTTATTAAGGGAATTCAGGTTATGCACTCCGACCGTGGTTGATGACACCATTTTTAAACCCACTTATCGGGTCCCCGGAAGCTGCATACAACGAGACGTTTTGTCGTGTTAGATCTACCATTGAGAGATGCAATGGAGTTTTGAAGATGCGTTTTCGGTAAACTATTTATATATTGTTATTATGGCTGTTGGGCTTGCATATAATATAATTTACTTATATAATTAATGATTAAATGTATAACAGATGTCTCCTCAAACACCGAGTACTACATTATTCACCGAGTAAAGCATCTAAAATTATAAAAAGTTGTATAATGCTGCATAATTTGTGCATCAATGACAATGTACCATTAGTAGTAAATGAACCACTCGAAGTTGAAGATGTAGATTTTGGAATTATTCCACCAATGGTTATTATAAATGAAAATAGGCCAAATCACGAAAATCGTAACAATGAACTTTTGGTAGGTCGTCGAATAAGACAAGTTATAGTAGCAACATTCTATACATTGTAAATTCTTACATAAACAAATTAACATGAAACTACATTGAAATGATATATACTTAATATTTATGTTACATTATATTATGTTTAAATGTAGAACTAATAGTTTTACAAGTAAAGTAAAAAAATGCATACTTAACTTTTGAAAATTTACCATATTTTAAAAAAATTTTTAATAGTAACTAATTAGTGCACTATTATTATTTTATGGTTGTAATTAGTTTTTTAAGCTAACGGTGTTAGAACACATTTTTTAATTCGATTTCTAAACACAATTTAGTTGTTCATGTTTATAATCTGCTGTAATAAAATACAACATTGCTTTCTTATTTTAATATATTAATACCTAATTGTTTAGCTATTTGATAAAACTATTATAATATGTGGATGCATATTTCTAAATAGCAAATAATTTGACGTTGTATCTTATAAAATACACCTTTTTAATGTAATAAAAATTTGTACATAATTTAAATAATTTGTTGTTATCATGACTAATGCATAATACATTCGTATTTAAACTATACATAAAACATTTTTTTTCTGTTTATATTTTAGAACAATATAACATAAAATACATTTTTTATTTAAATGGAAGTAAACATATTGTTGGCTGTTATCACTTTTCTTTTTAAATACAATATAGATTATTCTGTAGATGTAATGTAGAGGCGTAATTAAGGGGGAGATTTGAGTGTCTTATCATCCCCCCCATGACGTTTTACATATCACAATGGTTGTATTAAGCTGTTCTTATGATACATACCAAAAAAAATTGGGGGAGGGAAGGGGTGATGAGTAAAATGTATGCAATTTTTATTTTATCCCCCCCCCCCAAAAAAAAACATGACCAAATTACGCCACTGATGTAATGACTAATGTGCATAAAAAGTACACGGAGAATAAAGCTGACCGTACATACGAACCGTCCGGACGGTCCGTATATCATGTTCTAACGGCGATTTTTTTTTCCGTATAGTAAATGTTCGTATACGGACTCCACCGTATACGAACCGTTCGTATGGCGTTCAGAATAGGGCCCCTGGCACGTAATTGAAAAAGCGTAACGAAAAAAACGTTATCAAAAAAGCGTAACGAAAAAAGCGTTATCAAAAAAGCGTTACCACACGGAGATGGGGTTGGGGACGGGAGATAAAGGGTAGCAGATAGGGGTGAGAATTAGCCGGTACATAACCGAAAAAAAGTGTTGCCAAAAAAAAGCGTTACGCTTTTATCTGATATGAGATAAGATAAGATATGTTGTACGTTTAACGTTGAAAATAGTTTAATTCTCTATGTTAAGTTACTTTTGGCCAGATAATAAACACTACAATTTTAGCCAGAAAATTGATTATAAAAATTTTTTTAATCTCCTTGGCTTACGCTGTATCTGGAAGCTCCATGAAATTTTTTTTTTAAAATTATAATTCCACAACTAATCTAAATTTATTCGGTACTTCAACGAGACATGAAAATGATCTTTCGTGGTTGCAGACTCGGCTGAAAAACTTTTTGAGTTATTTTTCTTTTGTGATTATGTACAGGTCTTACACTAAATTTTAAGTTTGTACACCTATAATAATATTGAAAATCCACATATTATGTAGTGTTCAAGTCACTTTTTGGGTTTTTTTTTATTATAAATATGTATACATTTTAATTCTAGTTAAAATTCCTGTAATACACAAAAATCGACGATACGTTTTGTACCATTATACAGTGTAGACAAAAGACAAACAACTGTTGGTATCACACATTTTTAAGGAGAGCTGTTGTATTTATACAGTTTTACGTTTTTCTTACTAAGTTGTTTTTTAACCATATCTTGTTTTATTATTTATTTTTCTGATTGTTTGAATTTGCTTTTGTGTATAAACAAAAGTTTAACTAAAATTGAAAGAATCCAAAAGTTTAAGGTCATGTGTCAAACGAGGCAAGCCTAATCAATGTTCTTTAAAAATGTTTAAAAAATTTCACTAAGATTATATCTTATATATTATAGCAAACCAAACATGACGGTTGAAAATCCGGTTATCTTTCACGGTTTTGAGGAAGTAGTTGTTTTTTTTTAACTTTTACTGTTATTATTATTATCTCTTTGTGGTTTTTAACCCGTGTTAGTTAAACTATTAAATATAAAAAGAGGTTGATTATAATAATACAAAGAACAATAGTTTATTAAAATAATTGCACACGGTTAACCAACAAATAATAATAAAGTTTTACATGAAAAAAAGGTACGCAACGGTACAGAATAAAAATACAAGTAAGGGTGAAGAAAATATTACAAATAAATACCGGTCATGTGTATATTATCGTTGATCGCGGTACGTCATGAATATAGCGACGAAATGTGGTTTTGTTATCAACTTCATACAGGTGGCGCGGTAGCTGATGATATTATACAATAAGTCCGCCACACTCTTATAATTAATGATAATATTGAAATATAGGCGTGTATAACATTTTACACACTGACTTTTTGTGAGTATGGGTAAGAAAGATTTATAAAAATATACACACAAATATTTTATGACATGTATTGTATTTATTAAATCTTCAGCAGTAACACAAATTAATTAAATGACCGATTGATTGTTGACAACCGTTTATCCCTATTTAAGTGTATTCATTAATATTATTTTGAGGAAAAATTTGTAATATCTGAAACAAATATATATTTTTAAAATAGGTTTTTGGCTAGCAAAAAAAAAAAAAATGAATTAATAAAAACTTTACAAATTATTAGTATTCTGTAAAACTGTTATAGTTTTCAATGATTTAAGATTCTCTGGAATCGAGAGTAGAGTTTAGTTATGAGATGACATCACTCATCGAAGAGAATCCTCCTATAATCTTTACACATCATTACCATATATTCATAAAAATCAATTAAACCGTCGTCTGGAAAAAAATTAATGTTAATTAATAATAATTTCCACAACAATGTCGTTCTTAAGTATTTACGGTTTAAATCCCCAGCCATGATAATATCCATGATTATTGTTTTAAGGTCTTCATTGGCCGGTTTCTTAGCTTTGCCGCGGATCCATGCATTAACCAGAGTATTAACGACTATAGCGCCATCTCGGTTTTTTTCAATATCACAAAATCCCATGTATATACTAACCATCTAAAAGTTTTAAGATACACATTATATTTTTATAATATTTGTATTTTTTGATAAGTTTTAAGATAAGGTAGAATGATCAATCATACAGATAAAGTAAAAATAATATTTAAATTATAACTACTAACCAACACCGAATTCCCCACCATATTTCCTATTTCCAATGAATTTGTCCATTTAATTAGAGAATTTCCTGTAAACGGTATGTAGATAATTAAAAACAACATTCATTAGGTAGTTAAGTTTTTTACTACTTTTTTGACCATTAAGATGTATTATTTCTGAAATTTCATTATCGTTTAAGAACAATATATTAGCATCTGGAGTTGTCTTTATGTCTTCCACGAATGATACACTCGTAAAAGTGACATTAATGTGTTTAATATCCACTACATTATCTTGCTAAAAAAATATAAGAAACGCATATTATGTCAATTGAGAAACTACATTTTTTATAAGTCTTAGATGCAACAAAATATATATACAAAATAGGAAAAGTAAATAGAGTGAATAAGCGTCCAAACATCTTAAGCTTGTAATTCTCATCTTAAAATGTTAGTAAAATATATACACTATCATTAAAATTTCTCAAGTTGGTATACCTTTTGGAAAATTGTTTAACTTTGGTGTTCTATAATATTTCACAGTAATATAAATACATTTTTTTAAGGAAAAACTATAAAAAATGAATCACCCTGTTCAGGGTAATAGCAACTTTTAATAACTTAACTAATAACACATATTTTATTAACTTTTTAAAATTAGAATAATGTACTAAAAATTTTGGCTGATTGATAACCAGTTAAAGACAACTATTTTTAAAGATATGAGAGTTTAAATTTATGATGGGATGGAATTAGTGCAGTTGAGAAATGCGCGTTGATAAAAAATAATACTACACTCCACCTTTCCTCCTGCCCTAAACTTTAAACTTTTTATCGACCAGTAAAAATTTGAGAGGGGAGTAAAAACAAAAAAAGTTGTGAAAAATTGAGATCATATTGTATCAAAACAATATGAAAAAAAAATTTGAATTTCTCATTAAACTTTATGAGATATTAAGTGGCCAATAATAAAAAAATCACTCTGTATAGCAACAATAATAAAACGGTACAAACCTTTGTCAAAAAAAAAATTATCGGTTTCATTTTTATCAACAGATTCAAATCTATTTTATTGTTATCTGAAAATAATTATGACATTTTTAGAATAATTTTATCGTAGAACATTGTTTTATTTCTTATATTACTCTTTGTAAAAAGTAACTTTGTATATAACTTTGCATGGCGAATGGTGATGAATCCGTAGAACTGAGTGAAAATTAGTTTCTGTAATTGCTCTGGGGAGATTGAACTCATTTTGAGATCGTACTTGATAAATGCAGTTTTCAATTGCTCGTCTGTGATGTCATTCAGAATTGTATTCTAGAATATTATGTACAGTTAATTTTATGCTAATCCTTTTATCAAGAAAGGGAATAAGTAGAGTTAAAAAGTACAAAACTTTTAAAACCATCGGAAAAAAAGTGAAACATTATTTTTTTGCACTAGAAACATATTATATTTTCTCCCCTGAGTGCTTATTTTGTTTAATTTATTGAGTACTTAAACAATGCTTATCACCATCGTAATTTGTAAATTTCACTTGCCATTCATTGTTTACATCCTAGTTAGTTACACGCAACACATTTTTTTAAAATCACTAATTTGAGAAAATAGTATGACGTGTAAAAGAGTATTGGAACTTACGAAAATCGGGTTTCTACTAAATTAAAACGTTTAGAAATTTAAATAACGCAAAACGTGTTCCTTTTATGCATTTAAAACAAAAAACTAATTATGTTATTTTTCAAATTTGAATGTGTTTACTCTGTGCTTTTGTTAGAAACTCACTGCTGAATTCAGTACAGATGAAATATGACAAAAATTTAAAAACCCGAATAAACACATTTTATTCTATACAAATTAAAGTGAATCAAATAAATAATGCAAAAATACTTGTATGAATTTCACCGATAATTCATCAAAGTTGATTTAGCCGAAAATAATTATTATCATAATGTCTTTTAAGCCTATTAATGATGACGAGATAAGAAAAAAAAATATTTCTATGCTGTTATGCTAAATTTGTTATGATTGGTGAAAATAAAATAAAATTGTGTATACCTTAATAACTTACATTCAGATTTGTATATCTTTCGAATAGAACATTATCTAAATAAACTTTTAATTAAATTACTTTAAAAATAATTACAGTAATTATTCTAGTAATTATTTCAAACATAAAGACAATTTTTTATTAAAAAAATGTTTTATTCTAATAAGAATTTGCACTACTCTGCTTACAATATTATTCATACAATAATCCTAACAATCTCAAAAAAAAGTTACCATCTATATTTAATTGCTATAGGTCTTTATGTTACTTTGGCCAAGTAAACTATAAGCTTTTAAGTATTTCTGAATGTTAAGATACATACCACCGAACTCGAAGAACCTTCATCCGTTATCCGCTAATAATAAATTGAAAAAAATATATTTTGTATACTTTAAGCTTTTAAATATTTCTGAATGTTTGTACATACCACACTAGTAGCAAAGTTCGCTATGCCTGCTGGCATTTTTCCATGACCCGTGGTACTACATTTACAACACACGACACACAAAAGAAGTAAAATATTTTTTGAAAACATTGTAATGCAAAATATGTACTTGACGCGTATGAGAACTGCTAGGAAATGAACATATTCTTATTGTTATTTTGCGTTTCTCTTTATAGTTTTGTATTTCTGACGTATTTCGAGTAAAAACAAAAATTGTGAACAACAATCATAAATTATCTTTGAATACATATTCAAAAACCGTTTTTGTGCACCAAGTTTTATGTTTTTAATATAGTTTCGAGTATGTACAACAGTCGTGAAAAACCATTTTACATTTTTTTATAATTGGTATAAAAAAACAATAGCTATTCAAGCACGAAGAAAAAATATCTCTACTCTACACTCTGCCGCCCATCCTAAAGTCAATTCAGCCGTTTCAAAGTTAGATACAGACAAAAAAACACCAGCTTTGCGTTGAGTTAAAACTTAAAACTATTACCTAGATAATAGAAAAAAAATGTATTCATAAATAACCGCATAAAAGATAAAATATCTTATAACGAACAAAAGGTTAAACGTTAACAATAATGGATAATATATAATTACATTAGTAGTCTATACACTAACTGTAATTTAGTCTATGACCAAACGTTATGTCACTACATTTTAACCGTGTTGAGTACACAAATTACTGTTATAGTGTTATACCGTGTACACATTGTAGTTATTTTTCAATCAACAAAGTTGAAATTATATCATTGTACAATGTACGTACTTAACTAGGTACTCTATCTAATTTTAATAAATTTATATTGATTTATACTTATAGTCATGGATTACCAAGAAAACTACTTTTTTATCTTATATTAAAGCCTATGTCAAAAGCAAAAACAACCGATCCCGTACAATATATACATTATTTTGCAAGTGTTTGTTCAGAATATGTAGAAACCGTTTTATTAGGGTACGACTCAAAAGACAATGTTATTTGTAAAACATCAAAACGATACGAAAAAACAAGTCCTAACTGTATATGATTTTGGATCTATAGGTTTGACCCCTTCCTTATGGAGTAGTGTTAGCGTCTTAAAAAAAGAAGAGGGAAATGAATAATTTCCAATTTTGTTAAAAAAATGTTTTTTGAATTCTTCTTCTTCTGTGATTATAATATAACATAACATTTTAAGTTAGTAAACCTATAAAAGTATTCCAAATCCACATATATAGACTATAGTGTTCAAGTCACTTTTGGGTTTTTTTTTATTCTAAATATGTATACATTTTAATTTTAGTTAAAATTTATGTAATTTACAAAAATCGATGGTACGTTTTGTATCATTTTATAATGTAGACGAAAGAAATACGAGAGTAATAACTGTTGGTATCACACATTTTTTAAGTCTTTTACGTTAAGAGAGCTGTTGTATTTTACAAATACAATTTATACAGTTTTACTAAGTTGTTTTTTTTCACTTAACGAGAAGGACACTCAAAACCAAAATGATGGCTCAAAACAAAAACGGAACTAGTACCCCCGACTCAGGCCCCCACGGATTTGGGGGGGGGGGTGGCAACACGGACAAAGACTTAGAAATTAGAACTGGAAACATTGGAGAAAACGACCGACAAAGTGTGATTCAGCAGCTCGGGGACGAATTAGTGGATATGCAGATTGCCTATGCGCAAATGAAACAAGACTTAGAAGATTTGTCCAAATACTGCCTTAAGCACACCAACGTGCACGTGCGAGTTAAAGATCTGCCAAAATCCTTTTTAATGCAATCAAAGGAGGTCGATATGCACGTGGAAAAAGTGTTTGAGAAACATCAAGCCGTCGATAGTCTGACAGTACGACTAACCCGTATTGCGATCGGGCATGTGGAGGTGTCGCTTCGACATTTGGAGGCCAATTTCGAGCGGCCCCAAGTAGAGAGTACGCCGCGGAAGCAGACCCGGGTGAAGGACAGGAGGGAAGAACACATGAAGGAAGACGAGAAGAAAAAAAGTTAAAAAGAAATAGAGGAAGAAGAAGAAAACGAAGACCATGGAAGAGTACACCAAACAACCGAGAAGGGCCAATGTGGGTGGTGCACCGAAACCCCCGCCTAACAATAGGCAGTTGGCGAGGCGTGCCATCGCAGCAAAGGCAGTGGTATTGGTGATCAGGCCGGGAACTAGGCAAACGTACGTTTCCGTGGCATGTAAAATTAAAGTGAGCGTGAACGTCCAGGCTCTTGGCCTAGACATCAAAGCCATGGAGAAGAGGTAACGGTGACGCTGTCGACAAGCTCCGCCGGAATGGTGCTTGTCGACAGCGACCTTGAAGAGGAGGCGACGGCCAAGGAGGTGGAGGAAGCATTACAATGTCTTCCAAGAGCGGAGTTAGGAGTAACTGTAGTCCGAGTCGTGCCCGGCTTTGGTGGTGGCCATCATCAGAGTCCCGCGTGCACTCGAGCTGCAGTTGGACAAGGTAGGCCGCCTACTCGACGAGGGGCTTGTACGCTGTCAGGTGAAGCTTCGGCTTCGTCTCGACAGATGCTACAAGTGCCACGGGTACGGTCACTGTGCGCGGGAGTGTAAAGGGCCAAATACAACTGGTCTTTGCTTATCAAGTGGTGGGGCGGATCACCATGCAGTCCAATGTACGGCTCTGCCGCATTGTGTGGTATGCAAAGATCAGGCCTTGGCCTTTGACTACTACCCCGGTAGTGAGCGCTGTGCGGCGTACCAAGAAGCGAGGATGAAGAATAGGATTAGAGTGTAAATAATTAAAATTGTAACCTTGTAATTTTATTATGTGAGCCCGCCTCGCGAAGGGGAATATGGGTTTTTTGCAAACAAATAATTGTGACATTAAAATATTAATAAACGATGCGGGCTGGGGGGGGGGGGGTGGGGTGAAATGACCATATCTTGTTTTATTGTTTGTTTTTCTGATTATTTAAATTTGCTTTTGTGAATAAACAAAAGATTTAACTAAAATTGAATGAATCCAAATGTCTATTTAAAACATGAAAAAATGAGCTCTTAAATACTAAAATTGCGCATACAAAATAACCCCCCCTACCGGGTTTGAGGTCATGTGTCAATAAAGGCATGCCTAATCCATATTGTCTAAATATTTTTAAAAATTTTTGCGCTGATATTATAACAAATCGAGTTTTTGGTTGAAAATTGGTCATTTTTCTTCAGATTTTAATGGTTTTGAGGATGAAGTATAAGTGTTTTCAATATCTCGCTGTTTTATGTGTAATACAGAACTAAAGTTAGATATTAAATATTAAAGAAAACCAGCTGTGACCCTATTACAATAAACAGGCTCTTCTGAGCCAATATTTTAAATAGCTACGGCCTATGTATACTAAAAAATAAAACGAACAAAAAACCACTGAATATTATAACGTATATATCTAATACCTTCTAAACTAAGCAATCAAGTAATATGAAAAAAAACAAAATGTATTTTTGTGTTTCACTGTTCACACCGAGAATAAATTTTATACAAAATACCTATAATTTAATATACCCGCGACCATTTCGTCTTCACTATGCTCCGTCTGTACTATGCCACAACCCCACTTTACTGGCTTTGTTTTTATTTGTTATTAACTAATTGAGCGGTTAAGCCATAGTGGTGTTGGTCACATTTTCGAAAAAGTTGAGTTAAATACTACGCTTTACACAGTCCATATAGACAACTGAACAAACATGCTCCTAAGATTTTAGGGAAAACCAAAAGTACTGCAAAAATAAGCCGTTTTTAAGGAAAACGATAACTCATTTAACACATTTAAAAACATTTTATTACAATTTTTTTTTTTTTTTAAACACTGACTTGATTTTTTTTCACCGTATTATAGGTATATAATGTATGTTAGATCCATTATTAAACTAATTTCTAGATTATTAAACCTTTAAATTGCGCCAACGTTCTCTAAAAATTTTAAACATTTTTCGCTAAAATATTATAGCAAATCAAATAAGGCGTTTGAATAACCATATAGATATAATTTACCAAGCAAATTATTTTTTTAGCTTATTATAAAACTTATGACTAAAGCAAAAATAACCGATCACATACAATATACATAATGTAACAAGTGTTATTAAAGTATGACGCAAAAGACAATGTTATTTGTAAAACAACAAAACAATGTTTCATATTTTTACAATATTATAATACTATTTTCCGATTTTAAAACCATGTTGAGAACATGTGTCAATAATGGAATACCTAATCAAAGTAATCTAAAAATTTTAAAAAATTTTCACAAATATATAGCAAACCAAAAATGACGTTTGAAAAACCGGTCAATATTTTCGGGGTTTCCCGGTTATGAGGACGAACCAGTTATTTTTTTTAACTTTTACTATTATTCATTATAACTCTTAGAAGGAGTACAAGTGTTTTCCACATTTCCTTTTTTTATGTGAATTACAAGTCTAAAGTTTGAAATGAAATATTAAAAGAACACCAGCAGTGGCCCCATTACAATAACAAGTATTTTACAGACAATAATTTTAACCAGGGGTTCGGAACTAATTCCGGAACATGTTCCTTTATAACTCCCTGTTGTAATCGTTCCGGAACAAATACCCGGAACTCGTTCCTCGAGATATTCGTTCCGGAACAAATACCCGGAACTCGTTCCTCAAGATATTCGTTCCGGAACAAATACCCGGAACTCGTTCCTCAAGATATTCGTTCCGGAACAAATACCCGGAACTCGTTCCTTTGATATTTGTTCCGGAACAAATAAAATGTAATTGTTCCTTGTCATTATTAATAATTTAAATTGAGATCACATTGTATAACAACAATATGAAAAAAAAATTTTTTTGTGAATATGGGTATGAAAAATTTCAAAAATATACACATAAATATTTTATTACATGTATTATATTTAATCAATCTTCAGCAATAACACAATTAAATAATTAAATAATCAATTAATTATTTATCTCTATTAAAATTTATGTCTGAAATGTTCATCGAATGTACTTTATATTTTGGCGCATAGTGTATTCTTTAATGTTATTTTAGAGTCAATTTGTAATATCTGAAACAAATATACATTTTTTAAATATGTTCTTGGCTTGCATAAAAAAAAAAAAAATACTAAAAACCTTACAAATTATTGGTATTTATGTAAAACTGTTATATTTTTCAATGATTAAAGATTCTCTTGAATCGAGAGTAGAGTTTTGTTATCAAGTGACATCTCTAAATCTCCGTCCAGGTTATAATCATTACTCATTAATATCAGATATTCATAAAAATCAATGAAACCGTTGCCTGGAAAAAATGTAATGTTAATTAATAATAATTTCCACTACAGTGTTGTTCTCATGTATTACGGTCTAAATCCCCGTTCTTGATAATTTTAGTGAATTTTTCGTTAATGGATGATTCCTCATTGTCTGATAAATCAAATTCTGTTTCATTTGAATCATCCTCGATCCATGCTTTAACAAAGTCATTAACGGGAATACGGCCATCTTGGTCCTTGGCGAGTTCACAAAATTCCTCGTAACACTGTACTATCTAAACATGTTAAGAAACACATTATATATTGTTATAATATTTATATTTTTTGATAAGCTCTAAGATAAGGTAGAAAAATTAATCATACTGATAAAGTAAAATAATATTATAACTATAACTTCTAACCATTTGCGAAGTCTTAATCATTTTTAATAATTCTTCGAGCTTCGCCAAATCAATTGGCCATTCTACTGTAAACAGTTTGTGAATAATTTAAAAACAGAATTCAATAGGTAGTTAAGTTTTTTACTACCTTTTTGACTAATCAGATTTAGAATTTCTGAAATTTCATTCTCGTCTGAGAACAGTTTTCTAGCTTGTTCATTTTCTTTTATTACTTCCACGAAAGATTCTTTTGAATAAGTGTCATTTTTGTTGACGTTTCCAATCTCCACTTTACTAATTCTCTAAAAAAAAATTAAGAAACGAATATTATGGCAATTAAGAAATGACTTCTTTTGTAAGGCTTGGATGCAACAAATATTACACAAAATGATTCAAAATTAATACAGTCAAAATTGTATTTTTCTTGTTAGTTTTTTGATTTTTATATCTTAAATGTGGACTTAATTATCTTTTTTAATTGGGAATAATTTGTGGAGAATTTTGACTGGTGTATAACTAATTTTGGACGGTTACTTTTGAAGTTATAAAAGTTCTATAAACTTTTTATCCTCATATTTTCTTTTTTTAAGTCACTATAAAAAAATAAAAACTGTGTGTGTCACGGGACACGCAATCGTTGTAAAACACAGATTTTATGGTATATATAGCTTTTTGATAGACATCTCGATGTATGAATATTATTAATTACTATTGAAGAAAGTATAAAATGAACGTAATACAAATATTTGTATATTTGTTGATAAAATAATTATTTTATTTCTGTCCGAACCATACTCATTACGACCGATTATCCTTTTATAAAAATCCGTTACACCAAAACCGTTTGGGTCGTTGGTTGGAGTGGTGGAAGTTTGAGGGCGTTTAAAGTTCGGATAGATTTAAAAATTATACTTCGTTATAATAATACTGTACATTGTTAAAAAGTGTTTCGTATTAAATATTCTATAATAAAGTAATTCATCATTTCTAATATAATTTTGTACAAAAAACATCTTAATATTATTTTACTGTTATTTCAAATATAATAATATTTCATTTAAATAAATAATTAATAAAATAATAAATTACATTTATTTTATTTTTCATTTTTTAGATGTAGGACTTTGAAATGTTTTTTATATCTTAAGAACATCTATTATATACAAATATACTTAAATATTGAGTATGAAGCGTCTGTCCGTGTTCAATTTTTTCTACTTTTAATATATTACTTTTAAATATTTGAAATATTATATAACAGGGATTTTGTGCCCAAAATTTAAATAATAATACTATCATTAATATTATTATTTTTATTATTAATAGTACGTATATTTACGTTATCATTAAAATTTCTAAAATTTGTAAACCCTCTGGAAGATTGTAAAACTTGGGTATTTTATAATATTTTACAGTAGGTATTAAAAATACACTTTTTTTAAATGAAAACCTTTAAAAATTCATCTCCCAGTATAGTAACAATAATATAACTGAATACAAACCTTTGTCAATAAATATATTATCGGTTTCATGTTTTTCAACATTTCCAATTCTGTTTTACTTTTATCTGAAAATAATTATGACATTTGTAGAATTGTTTATCGTAGAACATTATTTTATTTTTAATATTACCCTTTGAAATTAAAGTTTTATATATATCTGCATCGTGAACTGTGAGGAATCCACTGAACTCATTGAATACCAAATTCTGAAATTCCTTTGGGGAGATTATACCATCCTCATCGGTATCATACTGTTTAAATAAATTTGCCCATTGCTCGTCTGTCATGTCTTTCAGTTTTTTATTCTAAAATATTTTTTACAGTTAATTTTTTCCGAATCGTTTTATCATTAAAGGGAATAAGTAGAGTTAAAAAGTAAAAAAAAATTAAAATCATCAGATAAATGCGAAAACATTTTTTTTGCACTGGGATCCTCTTATATTTTTTTCCCCTAAGTACTTGTTTTGTTTGATTTTTGAGGGAACTTAAACCATTCTTATCGTCGTCGTACGTAATTTCACTTGTCGTTCATCGTTTACATCCTAGTATGTTACATGAAATACATTTTTTGAAAATCGCTTATTAAAGAATATAGTATGACGTGTAAAAAAAATGTTGGAAAATACAATAAATTGGGTTTCTACTGAATTAAAAGATTAAAAAAGTCTGAAAAATGCAAAACGATTTTTCTTTATACATTTAAAGCATGAAACATATGATGTTATTTTTCAAATTGTTGTGTGTTTATTCTGTGTTTTTGTTAGAAAGTCAATGCTGAATTCCTATACAGATGAAAAAATATGAAAAACATTAGAAAAACTTAAATTAAAAACTTTAATTCTACATATAATATTAAAGTGTATGGAATAAATAATGCGAAAAAACTTTTATGAATTTCACCGATAATTCATCAAAGTTGATTTAGCCGAAAATAATAACTATCATAATGTCTTTTAAGCCTAGTAATAGTGCCTACTAAGAATATTCGTTATGATTGGTGAAAATAAAAAAAAATTGTGTATACCCTAAAACTCACAATCAGATTTGTATATTATACGAATAAAAATTTATCTAAATAATCTTTTACTTGAATAATTTTAGAAATAATTACTCAAATAAAAGATTTTCTAAATACTTTAAAAATTAATTTAAGTAATTTTCAAAATAATTATTCTATTTATTATTTCAAAGATAGTTTTTCAAATAAAAAGTTATAGAAATAATTACAAATTTAATAATCAAATAATTTTTTTAAAAATGTTTTAAATAGTTTGTTAGGGTTTTTTTCCAAGTATCTATATTTTGAAATATTGTTTCGTAAAAATTTTTTTTAAACTTTTTAAATTTTTATTTTACCCTAATTATTATAAAATATTTGGCTCAACAATTAAACAGTAAATGTAAGGTTACATTATTGACATGAGGTAACAGTAATAACATGATTTCAATGATAAATATAAAATGATGAAAAACAAACAAAAAGTAAGTCCATAAAACTAAATGAAGTTAATATAATCTTAAATCCACAAGTGAGCCAGAAGCTCTATATTTTTTGAACGCGTCGCACAGTGTTTTAAAATCAAAGAAAGCTGGCCATAAATAGTTTTTTGAAAATACTAAATAATTTTTTGAATATTACATGATTGCTGCCGTGCGTACAATCAAGAACTGACCACGTGATAGCTATGAAAGGGTAGGAGATGATATGGTAATATCCACGGTTAAGTCAGCGAGGGGGGGGGCGGTTAGCCAGAGTCGGCTCTCCTGTGTTGAGGATACAAAGATTAAGGGCGGAGATGGAGGGAAAAGTCAAATTGCCACGGTGATTAAGATTCTGGGCACCCCATGAGGGATGGTGACCGTTTAAGTCCCCCCCTAAAATCGAATAGGAAGAGACTAAACTGGAGATTTTGTCAATGAGACGAGGAGGAGGGTTGGAGGATGGGCGAATATAAATAGACCAAAGAGAGATAGGAGAAGATGAGTTAGTGAACGTCTCAATACCGACTAGATCGATAGAGTGATCAAGGAGGGAAGATTGAAATTGAGCATCTAGTACTATTTGGTTAATTTTTATGAATTGATGGGAGGCAATGGCGACGCCACTGTATCCATCACAGCGGTCTGAATGTATAATATTAAAATGTGGTAAGGAAAGTGGTTTGTTCTGGAAAAGTCAGGTCTCGGAGAGTAAAGCGAAAGAACATTTTTGGTTAGAAAGAAGAAAGGAAAAGTCTTGTAAACGTGGGAGTAAACTTCTAACATTCCATTGGAGAATATGAAAAAAAAGGATGGATGGTATCGGAATTAGTATGTATCGTCATCGTCGATGGTTGAGGAAGGGAGATTAAAAAGGGATGATTCAATGACAGACTGGAGCGTTGAAGGAGATGTGAAAGAAGAAGGATCGAACGAGAGCGAACGAGAGAGAATTTGAGCAAAAGCTTCTACCTAATTAGGGTAATCATTGTTGGCAAAATGATAATGTTCCATATAATTAAGGAAACTGCCATTTGGAGAGATGGATCTGTTGTTGTTTGAAGGAAGAGGAGGGAATGATGGAGTGGGGGATACGTTTTTCCTTTTCCTTGAAGCACCTTCAATAGATTTATGACTATGTTTGGATGGGATGTAGGCGTTGGAAAATTGAAAGAGGGCCGGGAATGAGGGGGGATGAGCAACGACATTAACAGTAGGTGTATTAACATTTTTAGTGACATCGGAAAAAGTAAACGCTTTATTAGTTATACGCGATCGCTTAATTAATGATGCTTCTGAAAAAGAAACGTTATTTGCGGCCATGATCTTTTTGATGTCTTTCTGGATGGTCCATTCAGAGCAGGAACGGTCTGTAGATGGATGATTCAGTTTGCAGAAAATGCACACGGGGGGGGGGGGGTGAGGTCTCTTTAACATTCCATGAAGATTCGCCATGATCAAAAATTCCACAATGACTGCATCGCTCTTTGCTACGACAAAATTTAAATGTGTGGTCGAAACGAAGGCACTTGAGGCATTGTTCAGGTAAACGGATGCTAGGCGATACATCAAAAAGAACTTTAAAAATAGAAAGCTTAGTAGGAAGAGTATTTGATAAGAATTTTAGCTCCACCAAGTTAGTAGCAATCAGTTTGTTGTCTTTTTTGTCGTTGATTCGGCGAAAGGAGATCACTTTGGTTGGGCATTCATAGCTTTCCCAAAACTCTTCTTCGGAGACGATTTTGTCTAAGCGAATGATACCCATACAATATAACAATGTATTAGGGATACTGGCAATAAGTCCATGTTCGGCAAGAGATCTTGAAGAGAGACATAAATTGGCGTTATACACGGCGGAATCGAATGTGATTTTGACACGCTTAGAGCCGGTGGGATTGATATTGAGAATACCGGAGAACATTTTGGGAAACAGTTTACCAAGTTTGACTGGTTGAAAGTTGCCGAGGTTATTATCACTGGATGACGATGCTATCAAAATATGCAGGGGACCCGAATAGTTAAGTGGAAAGCATACATGATCGTTTGATTGCCTATACGCAGTCGCGTTAGGGGAAGACATGCTGGCTGAATTTGCGGTGACTAGGTGCGTGTTATGCGGCATAACCAATATCACTTCAGGGGAGTCCAACTCCTTGCCGGTCTTCGAGAGGGCTGAGAGAGAACTTGCGAAGAGGTCGCGATGTTTTTAGGTTTTTTTGGTAGAGGACTAGTAGGAGATTTTGTATTACTAGAACTGGGATTTGTCTTACCCGAGTGACGTGATGAATCATCTGAAATGCTTAAATCTGAGTTGCTTAGCGTGGACATACGAGTAATAGGGGGGGGGGGATATGGAGCTCCCCCCCCCTCTTAGTTTAGGTTTGACCATCCAAAAGAACCCAGGAGGGTCCTTTAGATTGAGCAAATGGCGTCAAGTATGATAGACGAACGTAAAATTGAAGCTCTAAAACGACTACGTGTAGGAGTTAAATATAGACGGGTAACTACACTGAGCGCGAGAGATAAAATAACCGCGACCGTACGCAAGGTGAATCTAAACTGCTAAATATACTTTATTTTGAAAATGTTTAAAACCAGTATAATATACACAGAGTGGTCCACAATGAATTGACAGATGAAATAACTTTTGTTCTAGTGAAAAATATTGAAATTGTTTTATGTTAATAATTGTATACTCATTTGCACTATAAGCTCCATGGTTTTTACTGCACTTACCCGTTTTACTTTTTTTTAATTTTTTTATTATATATTTTAATTTTTTTTCAAAAGTTAACTGCGTAGAGTTATTTTTATCTGCGCGCGTTACCTACCGCACTCCTCCTCCCGTCACCAATCATCCTCACTTTCAAATAAATATAACTTTAGAACGGATGAATAACAATACAATTTTTTTTACCAATTCTTTTTTAAAAAATATTTTGAATAAAACGGATATCTTGAAAAAAAATAAAAAAACGCAATAAGAAAAAAAAAAAATTACTATAAAAAGTAAAACAGGTAAGTGCAATAAAAACCATGGTGCTATAGCGCAAAAAAGTATAAATTATTTTTAAAAAAAAATCTCAAAAATATTCATTAGAATAAAAATTATTTTATTTTTCAAATCATTGTCGGCCACCTTGTATATAAAATTTTAATACATAGGAAGACAATTTTTTATACACATAAAATTTTACCCTAAGAATTTGCACAACTCTGGTTACATATTATTCATACAATATTCCTAACAATCTCATAAATAAGTTACCATATTTTATTGCAATAGGTCTTTATGTAATTTTGACCATGTAATACTTTTAAGTTTTTCTGAATGTTTAAATACATACCCCTGTACTCGTAGAACCATCATCCACTATCCGCTAATAATAAATTGTAAAAAAATATTTTGTATAATTGAAGCTTTTAAATATTTTTGAACTTTAGATACATACCTCACTAGTAGCAGCTTCCACTATCTCTCCACTACCTGCGGTAATACTTTTCACTGTAAAACTCACGACAAACAAAAGTAGTATAATATTTTTTGAAAACATTGTAAAGCAAAATATGTACTTGACGCTTGTGAGAACTCCTAGGAAATGAATATGTCCTTATTGTTATTTTGCATTTCTTTTTACAGTTTTATATTTCTGACGCATTTCAAGTAAAAACAAAAATTGTGAACAACAATCATAAATTATCATTGAATACACATATTTTAAAATAGTTTATTCGCACCTAGTATTATGTTTCTGAAATTCGAGTATGTACAGCAGTTGTGAAAAACAAACATAAATGATCATACTATTGGTATAGGAAACAACTGCTATTCTAGCATGAAGAAAAACAATTTCTCTACTCTACACTCTGCCACCAATCCTAAAATTTAAACTTCAATAATTTTGAAAAATCAATTTTTGGGGATTTCTTACCATTTTTTATTACAACACCAAGGAGTACAAGTGTTTTGAATATTTCGTTTTTTTATGTAGAATACAAGACTCAAGTTCGAAATTAAGTATACAATGAAAACCAGCTGTGAACCTTTTACAATAACAAGCTCTTCATAGACAAGTGTTTTAAAAGCCACAGCCTATGCATCATAATATGAAAATAACAAAATGTGTTTTTGTTATTCATACCGAAAATATAATATACTCGTGATCTAGATAGGTTGAATACTATACTATTAATTGGTTATATTTAATAATAATAGTACCGCCATTATGTTGTGTCGTTTAATAGGCATACACGGGTACAAATCTTGAACCTAATTGGTTGAAACCAACATCAACCGAAATACGCCATTTAGATTCTTATAAAATTTGCTTTCGATATTCAAGTTAATAAATAGTTGCTTTTCCGGTAACTTATTAAGTCATATATTAATTTAGTACTAGGCTTGATTATACAATTTTGGATTTACTAACATAACACTAGGTGATAAAGTGAAGGAAAGGACTAATTAATTAGCTTGCATCAAATTGTAATAGAAAACATTTTCTCGAATTTATAGTAAATAACATTGAATTATTAAACTAGTAGCCACAATTAGTACTAGTTAGTACTTAATTACTAACTACCATCTAGAAAATAGAAGAAATGTTTTCAAAATATCGAATAAAACATTAAAAATTACGAAAAGAGATAAACAAACTATTTAATAGGTTCGAAGTACAACTAACGCAAAAGCCCGTCCTGGAACATCAGGATATCCTAATACCGTTCATTAACGTTAATAACGTGCCTACGCCTAGTATCACGTACCATAAGTTTTGTTAACTTATTTATTTACTTTAAAAATTTAACTTGCGATGCGCAAAACGGGTCTCTAATAGAATAATTAAAAAAATATATATATATGAATAATATTTTTATTTATACGTTTCAACATTTTATTTACTTATTATATACAACTCTAAGGATCTGTATAAAATGAATAAAGTTCTAAAACTCTTTACTGCACTTCTACGTGCTAAGATGATTCTAACAAGTAACAAGACTGAAGTAATAATATCCGTTAATCGGTTACAGAGATCTGCGTAACCAAAGATGAATTTACAATTAGATAAAATTTATATTTTGTATCTTTTTGAAAAGCTTTTTACAATAAACTTGAAAACGACTTATTATCTCTTATAGTTACTGATAATATTGAAATATAGGCGTGTATAACATTTAACACACTGACTTTTTGTGAGTATGTGTAAGGAAAATTTATAAAAATATACACACAACTATTTTATTACATGTATTATATTTAATAAATCTTCAGCAATTACACAATTAAATAATTAAATAATCAATTAATTATTTATTCCTATTAAAATTTATGTATGAAATGTTCATCGAATGTACTTAATATTTTTGTGATCATAATATTATTTTGAGAAATAATTTGTAATATCTGAAACAAATGTACATTTAAAAAATATGTTTTTGGCTGGCACAAACAAAAATTCATAAAAACTTTACGAATTATCGGTATTATGTAAAACTGTTATATTTATCAGTGAATAAAGATTCTCTTGAATCGAGAGTAGAGTTTACTAATGAAGTGTCATCTATAATTCTCCGAACAGATCATAATCATAAGTCATTATTACCTGAGGGTTATTATTATGACCCTCAGCCCACAGGCAAAATTGTATTATTTATTATTTGAAAATTAAAAGGTTTTTTTTACAAAATGTTTTTATAATAAAAAAACATACGTTTAATCTATATAATAGACCAATTATAGATCGTTTAAGAGTAGTTAGGTTAGGTTAGGCCAATTTGTATAAAAAAAAAAAATTAATTATAAGTTTTGACGACTAAGTTGTTCTTTTGAGTTTGTTTTATAATGTTAATAAACATTTTAATAATTTAGCACAATACATTAGTCAAATCGGTCATAAAAAAGTTAAGAAGTAATTTGTATGTTTCTCGTAATGTTCAGTTTTCTGTTATTTATTAAGGAAAGGAAGAAATGTCATGTTTGTTTATGAAAGGGGTTACATACCAGGTGATTTTTTTTAACGCCCTACACTAGTTAACTCTTAAAATAATTGACACTCTGTAGTGTTTCTTTTTGAAAACATTTTTGTTTTTGCTTTATTATTATATACAACAACATTGAAATTCAAATATTTTTTAGTATTTTCTAGAGCTTTATCAACTTTTGAAACTTAAATAGTAACGTTTATATTTTGTTGAGTTTTTAAGTTAAGCATAATTTGCTAAAAATATTGACTGGTCGATAACCGATTTTGAATAAACAGTTTTAAAGTTATTTACTTAAGTACGAGTAGCAGATAACAAACGGTCATTAATTTATTAATATATGTACTTGATTCAAGTATTGGAAAAAGTAATGTTCGGTATATTAATATTTTCCGTGAAAATAATGTCTTCTAAGGTTAAGACCTTAAAGAATCATCCTTAGTACAAAGGCAAACCCAGGATGGCAAAGGAGAGGGGGGCACTTCCCTCCCTTCATCTTTTTTTTTGGTAGGTGGTTAAATGTTTGGTTGTTATTATTATATTTATACATTTATAAAATATGTCGCAGTTAAGAAAACAGTATTGTTTCTATACAATCAAATTAAATGTAATATTAAGTAATAATAATAATTGTAAATGTCTACAATAGTATAATTATTTAATAGAATAATATCTAAAATCTTAATGTAGAAAAAATGTAGAAAGTTATTCACTATATAAGGTTATTGGAAATCAGAGTTCTACGGTCATGCAAGAAAATAGTTCAAACATTCGAATATGTTACCTACGCAAACAACCAAACCAAAAGCGAAAAAAACACTAGTTTTTGATAAAAAAAAACAAACCGTTAAAGATGATTCATAGCGAATGTATACTTAATATGTACTTTTTGTACCTCGTCTCAGTGTGGATAAGTAATTTTGTTAAATTTTTGTAGTATAACGTTTTCTGTACTATATGTGCAGATATATTATTTTGTGCGTGCCATTTTATAAAACATATTTTATGATAAATATAGTCATAGTTTAACGAGTGTATTTTTAAACACTCGATTCACAATGATGATGTAAAACTATCTATTGGTACAATATAGAATCCCAATCACACTCACAGTTTCACCTAAATTAAAACAGTTGGTGTTGCCAGGATTTTGATTCAGGGGAGGGCTATCTTTCGAATTACCAAAATTAAACAATTTTGTCACTTTCAGAAATAATAGTTCTTCAATACCACCTCTGAGAATATTGAAGTCTTAAAATCTAATGTTAAGTCATTAATACAAATATATATCTTTTCTTAAATTTAACTCAAGTAATTATTTTACTTCCAACATAGTTTTTTTGATAGCAACTTTTGAAACTTATGGTAACCCATACATTTCATAAACTTTTTTAATTGAAAATAATGTACTAACAATTTTGAGATCACATTGTATAAAAATAATATGAAAAAAAAATTTAATTTCTTATTAAAACCCTATGAGATATTGAGTGGTTCACGATAAAATGATCATCCTGTATTACCATTATAGAAAATTAAAAAACATAAATACCTATTATACATATTTCTGTAATAATTATAAAAATTTGAAATTGGCGCGCTTATATGTAATGATTTTACTTGATGAAATAAACCGGTATTTGTAAACTATTTTTATTCATCGTTTTATGAACCCCTGTTTTTGTTTCTTATTCATTCTTATCAAACTGCAAGGGAATTTTTCGGGCCGACTTGATAAAAATTAAGAAATCATATTATACCTATCATATTTAAAATTTTCTAACAGTTCAACATTTCATTTCAAATAAACACTACTATAATTAGGAAAAAAATTGATTTCCTTTCATTTGGTTTACAAAATTTGTAACATGTTGATCTATGGTTAAAATTCTGCAATTTATGCTAAAAAACAAAAATTAAAATATCATTATGTACACGAAGGATTATGTTTTATCGGTAAAAATTATTGATTTTAGTCAGCTTTTAATTAATATAACATTGAAAACTATATACCTTTATTTATTTTAGACAACCACATTTTATAATGATGAAAATAGCTCCGAATTGGCGGTAATTATACATTTTAATTTTAATCATTTTACATGAACAACTATTACAATAATACTTATTGTACACAGAATTTCTTTTCGCTAAGAAATAATCCATCAAAAAAATGGAACGAAAAAAACAGTGTTGATTACCTACAAAAAATTGCAGAAGAAAATGAGCTAGATTTTGAAAATGAAATTATACTACATTTAAAGTAAGATATAAGTGTGTTCCACTGTTACATGAAATTATTTTATTTTTTCGACATCCTGTAACCAAGAAGATATTTTATTCGCAGCATCAAACTCGAGAATCGGTTCAGTTAGGTAGGTTAGGTTTAACATCAAGTTGACATTGAGAGATTGTCTATAACTATTCTTGGACATCACTGATTTGTTTTGAAGATCAATTGAGCTGTTGTTAAGATTTGCTCATTGTTGTGAATGTTAATTGTTAATATTTCGTACTTCTTTCCTCCTAAACTTATTAAAAATAAGAGTATTTATCCTACAAGGGAGAAGATGTTTTAACATTTTTTACTATAAACATGATAAGATCATATCGAATGAGTAATGTTGTTAATGAAACGTTTTATAGTGTTATGTCAAAGTGTATATGTATATCATAAATAGTTCTATAAAATTACAGCAAGTTGTTTAACTTTTTCTAATGTTGAGAAACATTGTGGTCTGCTTCCAAACTAATAATATGTTTTCTAAATTTTTAATATGATATTGTATCAAAACAGATATCACTATAATATGCTTAAGTCTCAGTTTTAAACTCTATTTACATTATTACTAATATTATAATTTACTAGCTGTTTATTAAAAAATAATTTGTGTTGTTAGTTAATATAATGTATTAATAAAGTGTACATTGTATTCAATTATTAAAAAATAAATTATTTACAGTGTATTAAAATCAATCGAAGAACAAAAATACGATGAAGCATTTAAAGGACAGTTGGCAATTTTGCAAAATATTGTTAAATATCTTCAAACTTCGGAAAATGAAAATTGGATGGTTCCACTTGCTAATACAGTAATATTTTCCTTAACAATTAAATTATGTCTAGTTGACTTATAGCAATAAAAATTATTTTAGATTTGTGTGGATCTGAGATATCTCTTGAATGCTTATGATAAATTTGACTCTACAAAAAAAAATATCAAGTTAGAGAGATATAACGATTTTCAAAAAAAGTTTATCGATGTGATGATGATGTATTTTCGCATTTGTTCTGGAGACATGTAAGTCTTTTAAAAATAAAACAAAAAACGGTTATTTTATTCTTTTGTTGATATCGTAATTATTGAAATGTTTTCAGTCGGGCTCCTTCGCGCCTTACTAAACGCTGGACAATAATGTTTATAGTCAATCAAATGTTACAAGTATATCATAAAATCAAGAAGTTTCATTTGACCACTGGCCTAACTAAAACTATTTTCATGTGCCCCGACAAAAATATTTTTCCTGTAGCCCATTTTGTGACGTTCTACTACTTTACTGGATGCAAGGAAATTTTTGAAGGGAAATTTAACGATGGTTAGTTTTATAAACAACGTATACAAATAGCACTTATCATAACTTGTAGTTCTTACTTTTCTCAAATCGTAAAGCAACTTCTAAATAACTAGGTTCATTATAATATTTATTTTCTGTGTAACTGTTATTGTGTGTAATATGTTTATATTATACTAATAGAAATGTGTTTTACTTTAAAAATACAATACAATATGTTCTGTACTGTACCAAATAATTAATCGTCAATTAATATTTTAGCGCGAGAAAATTTGACACTAGCATTTGAAAGCTGCCACAAGTGTTCAGTAAAAAACAAAAAACTAATACTAAAGAAATTAATACCTTTAAATATGTTACAGGTATAGTAAATGTTTTATATTACCCCTATTAAATAAATAATCCTGTGTTGATGAGATTTCTTAATATTTCATGTATTATAGGGTGTAATGCCGTCGAAAAGTCTTCTAAAAAAATACGATTTGGAATTATTTGGTGAACTGTCGGATTACTTGAAAATGGGCAATGTTAGAAAGTTCAGAGAATGTATAGATACCAACGAAGTATACTATATGAAATGTGGGGTTTACTTAGTCCTACAAAAATTGTTAAATCTTGTATACAGAAACCTACTAAAAAAATTGTAAGTGACCATTATTACTAATTTAAATTCTTGTACAATTATAAAACTTACAAAAAAAATTGTCAACTTTTTTTTCAGCTTTCTTATTGCCAAAAACCACATTATCCCCGTAGAACAAATTGCTGCCATTCTCAGGAAGTTCGATGATCCAGAAACAAATTTTGACCAAGCACAGTCTTTATTGGTTAATTTAATTTACAGAGGCACACTTCGAGGATACCTTTCCCACGCTCATAAAAAAGTTGTCTTAAGTAAAAAAGATGCATTCCCAACTGGTAAACAAATATTTGACAAAACTACAAGATCGATTAATGAAATAGGACATAATTAATTTGTATTAAAACAAGTTTTCCTATATTTGTTTATTAGTTTTTTTTTTTATATATATAAATGATTTTAGCAACTAATTATTGTTTGCATTTTAAATTTGTATGTACAAGAAATATTGGAAAATGTAAATCTCATTTTGTAATACATTTAGTTGTATATTACGAGTAATTAATATTATGTAATAAATATAAGACAAAAAATAAACCAATTTTTAGAGTTAAATAATGATTTTTATTCATATACGAACACATGGAATGTTTTTTTTTTTTTTTACATAAAAGTGCAAGTTTGTGTTTAATGTAGAATTTATGATGTTTTATCCAAGTTTAATTTATCAACTTTGACAAAACAAATATAATTATAACGCATAGGATTATTAAACTATTAAAACATTACTCTACCACATCGTTAATTATCTACAAAGTAAAGGATTACAAGCAAACCAAAACATTATAACTATTTTTGAAACAGAGCATAAGTAAAAGATAATTAAGTTTATTTAAAAATAATTTTTCAAAACTCACATTAATAGGTACAACTATTTTACAAAAATAAATTATACACAAGTAACAAAATGATAACTTACATAATGATTTCTATTTTTATGAGTGAGTGGAACTTTTTAAATTATATGTACTAAAATGATATAACAATAACTGAAGATTGATACTATTGGAAGATTTTAACATATTCCAAAACATCTAATTGTTATACAAGTTTTTTTTAATATAAATATAATTAATACAAATACACATGTAGTCAAAGTTTATTTATCACCCATCTTCACCTTGGAAACAATGTAAATTCCAACTATCAGGCCAAAGAGACCAATAGCACTTCCAAAGATTTCAACAATTAAGATTTTAACAAAAAGTGAAGAATTGGCAGCGTCTGCCAATGCGGCACCGGAACCCACAACGCCAACAGCGATTCCACAGAATAAATTTACTAAGCCCACGCTTAAACCAGCCGCAAATATTAAGTAACCGGCCGTCCAATTTTGTTCTCTTATTGAATCTAAAGTGTCTGCATTGTCTGTGAATGATTCCAGTTGTCCGGACATGACGATGGCCGTGATGAGTCCATAAATAGCAACGGCCTCACAGAAGATGACCGAGATCAAGTTTTTAGTTTTGATGCGTGGCGCTTTCACTCCTCCGCCGACGATACTCACGCCTGTTGTATGTATTCCGAGAGCTGCGCCAACAACTGACAGTGACACTGCAAGGGATATGCCGAGTACAGCCCACATATACGGAGAAGTGTTGGCCAAAAACCATCCTATACTGATCTGTTCGCCCTTTCCAGTCAACAAGTAGAACAGTATCAAAAACGATATTAGTGTGGACGCTGATCCGAAAAACGTGTATCCTATTACTGACCGCAATCTCATTTTCGGTTTATTTTGTCGAACGCCGTTGGAATAATTGAATTGGATGATTACAAGAAAAATATATCATTCACAACGACCCGAGAAAATTAATAGTTAATACTGGCACCGCTAAAAGGACTCCGCCCAAAACACAACACATTTATAATACACACAAGTTCGGCTTCGCTCCGCAACCGTAATCAATTTCTATCAACAAAATATCATATGTTCTGTAGATTGTATGGTTCAACTGTAACCGCAACCATGGTTTCAGTGCAGAACCATTTAGGAATATATTATATTCTACTTCCATGGCATGACGCATGCGAGAACAGCTGCTGCCTTCGCGGTTCGCCTCTCAATTTACAAAAAAAACAGCTGTCCGAGTAGATAACCATGGTCAATTTATTAGTCATCAACCTGTTAAGTTTTCTGATAAACAAACGTCAAACCGCAAACGTGAATAGTGACGACGACCTAATATTAATCAGTACCTGCAATAATTATATGAGTAAACCGATTCACTTAAATTTTTTTTTTATTGAATAAGTGCCGCAAGTCGAATATTATACTATTATCCACTTCGTTATTATTGTGGCTGTCCTTATTAATTGTTTGAGAAATAATTTTGTGTTATTATTGTTACTATGAGTTATCCAGGATACCCACCACACAATCAGGTAAATATAATTCTATTATATATTTATTAAATTTATATTATGTATCAATAAGGGAACTAAAGAGCTACCATTTTTTTTTTTTTTTTTACCTACTATAAAAACTATTACATTTATAATATTGACACTAATACATATAATCAAATATGTAGTTCCAATACATTATTTAAATAAAATATTCAACACTTAGAAAATTCATTGGTTATAATTGAAATAAAATTGTGTTGGCTGAATGTGTTAAATATTTAATGTGTTGAAATACTAATATTTTGATAACTATCCCATGTATACCGAAAGTTATCAAAATACCTAATAGCCTTAACACGTTGGCTCCAGCTAGTTAGGAACTGCCCAATAGATGGGTTGTCATATGACATAGTATACTTACCAGTACTAATATATTATTTATATATTATGATTGTAGTAGTATAGTAACACTAATAATTTATAATTATATAAATTCATAAGGGATGGAAATAGTGTTGGAATAGTAGAGTAGTGTTCTATAGCAGTACATAATACTAATAATAATTCTCGAATATTGGAAAATCATGTAAAATAATAATTAAAGTAAAACTAATTAAATAAAAAAATTACACTAATTTAGTAATAATTAAAAAAATAAGGGTATAAATACAAATAAATGTCTAAGAATGTAAATAATAATTTACAATATGGAGTGTGTCTTTAAGCACTGCAAAGTAAATATTTTCTAGATCAAATTAAGTTGTTTAGTAACTTGTTAATGTTTAATATTTTACAATCAAGGTTTTAGAAACTTTTGCGCAGTATCTATTCTGTGATAGTATATGTATTTTCTAAAACTGTAAACAATCTTTTAAAAAATGTATGGACTTTACAAACAAAATTTATACTCAATGTGTAAACAAATAATATTGAAAAGCTAATATTTTTAATGTAAGTATATTATTCAAGTAATGAAACAGCTCTCTTCTAGTATGACTATTCTTGGTGAACTATAATCTTTTTTACCATACCTAGTTATGAGTATATCCATGACTAAACAAACAGACATGGTTGCTAGATAATACCACACAGAAAAAACATTGCATACTTAGAAAAGAAGTATTTTACCATGTTAATTCCTCATTATAAGTTATAACATCATTCAGTTATAAGTTAAAACATAATAACATGAACCATGACTGGGGCAAATAAGCAACAAACGGTAAATTTTGTAATCTAGCAATCGAGCCTGTTTATTTAGTCATGAATATAACTTTAAAAAACATTTGTGAATACTATTTAATTATCAAATGACAAATCTATATGAAAATCTATTATTATGCAATGTACAATTATACAATTAAAATTGTTTTCGATATTCTATGTGGAGGTAGTATACAGACTATAGAATTTTCAAGGACTTAATTTATGATTCATCTTGTATGACACATCAAGTTTCTTCCTGTATCACTCATCATCATCTCTTTCTGCTCCCCCCATTTCTATCTCTTTAAATGTACATGTTTATAAGAAAAAATGTTTTCAACCAACATTAGTTTAAAAAGTTTGATCTTGAGATAATATTTTACTAAACACAATAAATCAGGTTATGGTCCAGATTATTTTTTTTGTTCTTTTAATGATATTCCTAATATACCTAAAAACAACAATCTTTTGAAGTTTTTTTTTTTTGTAATAATTTAAAAGAGTTAATTTTTTAGTACTATTTGATAAATTACGAGGTTTTTTTTTTTTGTCAACATACATATTAAATAAATATAAATTTTTTTACAAGTCCATAGTTAGTGGATCAACCTGTATGTTTGTGTATTTATAATTATTATTTGTTAGTTTATAAAGTAATATGTTTCCATAAATACTAAGTATTTAATTATAAAAGTGTATTTTTTTGTTAGGGATACCCTGGCCAACCTGGAGCGCAACAGCCATATCCGTCTAACCCTACAGGCTACCCACCAACATCTGGCTATCCACAAACTAATCCGTACCCCTCTCAGCCTGGTTATCCTCCTCAACCTAGTGCATATCCTTCTCAGCCATTCGGTCAATACCCACCACAACAACCTGGTCAATACCCGCCACAACAACCCGGTCAGTATGCCCCAAGTCAACCCTATCCATCTGCATATCCACCAGCTCCTGGATATCCACCCCAGTCTGCAGGGTACCCATCCACATTACCCGGGCCTACACCAGCTCCTGGATATCCATCCCAACCTGCAGGGTATCCACCACAAGCCGGATATCCTGGCTCACAACAACTGCCGTCTTCTTATCCAAATATGACTGCTGGTGGTTTTGGAGCTGGTCATCAACTTCCACCCCAAGCACAGTATCCACCCATAACTACTCCTGCTCATTATCAACCAGTGGGTAGCTCACCAGTCCCTAAAAAGGTGAGGATTCTGTAATCATTTGTTTTACAACTACTTAAATGTTCTATGTGGTACGATCAATGCTAAACAATTTTAAATAATACATTTTTAAAACTATCCTAAGAAGCTGAGCTAGTGTTTGAATTATTTAGTAATGTTTATTTTTCATATTATATAATTTATGTTATGGGTATATTATTATGTAAGCTATATTAATAATTTATAAATAAATTATTGATTAGTATACTTGATAGTATGATGCCGTGGCGAAGAGGATTAACGCGACAGTGCTTCTAGACCACTAGGTGTAGTTTTAATCTCAGTCCCTGGCCATTTCTCTCGCTAGATGGGCATTCATCTGAAGAAAGAAATAGCCACTCAACTGGTATAGAAGATAACAGAAAGTCAGCGCAGCATAAATCCTCTTCCCCAGGACACACCATATAAATAAAAAATTACTTGATAGCTAAAAAAACATGACTGTAAATTCATAATCAATAAAAAATTTATCTATTTCTAAGATTTATTTTTAAACCATTTTCATATATCGTTATTTAATTAAAATAATTCCATTAGTGTTGAATAATCATTTATTGTATTTTTCCATTAGCTAAATTAATTATTGCATGTCCTTGTTTTGATGATAATATCTATTTAAAATAATTAACTACTTTGTTAGTTATCGTTAAAGTGCATGTTTTGAAAACGCCCTTTTTTGCTTTTACAAGTCTAATTTTGTAAATGCAACTTATTCATTTGTAGTATGTCATTTAGGAGTTTATAACATATTAGTGTTTTGTGTTTGCAGCCCTAGTAACAATACCTTTTCAGTTAAAATAGTTCTAAATAAGTAATGGTATAATATTTTTTGTTGTTATAATATTATTATTCGTTTAACAATTTTATGTAAAAATTTTAGAATTCAATTTGAAATTTATATTGTTTTTAGGCTAATCCAACTGTTCGCCCAGCTAACCCCTTTGATGCTCAACGAGATGCTGAAATATTGCGTAAGGCAATGAAAGGCTTTGGAACCGATGAAAAGGCAATCATCAATGTATTGGCTCATAGAGTCAATGCTCAAAGGCAAGATATTGCTGTGCATTTCAAGACTATGTATGGAAAAGTATGTATTAAAAGAAAAAAATACTTATAAATTAAAAAAATTATAACTATTAGCATTCAAAGTATTAAAATTTATTTTTCTTCATTTAATGGCTTTTGTATTTTTTTTGTCTACAGGCTAATGAGATTAATGTTAATTTTTACATCATTTTTTTTATTTTAGGATTTAATTTCGGATTTGAAGAGTGAATTGAGTGGAAAGTTTGAAGACTTGGTAGTAGCTCTCATGACTCCCACTTTTGATTATCTAGCAAAGGAATTGCGTTATGCCATGGAAGGTGTTGGAACAAATGAAGAAACAGTCATTGAAATTATTTGCACCGCTTCTAACTCTGAAATTCTTAACATCAAATCGGCTTATCATAGACGTAAAAAACATTTTTGAAATTTGTGCATGATACATTTTTTATTACATAGAATATTTAATAATAATTTTAAAATTAAAGTTTTCGGAAGCGATTTGGAAAAAGATCTTCGCGGAGAAACGTCTGGAAGTTTCCGTAGACTCTTAGTTTCGTTATGTCAAGGACGTCGTTCTGAAAATACTGCTGTTGACGTCGCATCGGCCCAAGTAGATGCTCAGAATTTACTGTCAGCTGGTATACATATATTTTTTATTTATCATAAAAGTATTTGTGTTTATAACAAAATAGAAATATTACAATTTTAATACTTTTAACTGTTTTCTTTAAATATATAGGTGAACTTCAACTTGGAACTGACGAGTCAGCATTCAACATGGTGTTATGTACTCGTAGTTACACTCAATTACAACAAGTATTTTTAGAATATCACCGTTTGACCGGACGAGACTTTGAAGATGTTATTAAAAGTGAATTCAGTGGGGACATTGAAAGCGGACTAAAAGCTATTGGTGAGTTATACATTACGGTTGTTATATTTTAAGTGTGAACACATTTTATTTTTTAATTTATTTTTTAGTTAAATCTGTGAGAGACAAGAGTACTTTCTTTGCTAAACGTTTGCACGAAAGTATGGCTGGATTTGGAACCAACGATAGAGCGTTGATTAGAATTGTTGCTACTCGCTGCGAAATTGATATGGTTGACATAAAGAATGCTTATATGTCTTTGTATGGTAAATCACTGGAAGCCGACATTGCGGTAAGAAATATGGGTTTTCAATTTATTTGTGATCAATTGTGAACTAAATAATCTTTTTTGTTGTGTTCTTTCTAACATCTTAATATAACTATTATCAGTTATATCATTAAATCACTACACATAAATAGCTTATAGAAGTATAAAAATTAGAAACCGTGATTCTATACTGTCTGGCTCCTAATTCCTTATACTCAATGTCAGTCTGGCAACTAAAAAGGGCTTCACATTCTAAATCTAAAAGAGCCCCCCTCCAACATTTTTTATTTGTGCACTAGTTATACAATTTTACTGCTGATTTTCCTTGTAAGGCTATCTATGTGTAGTTGGTATAGTTGAATAGTAGACAACAAATTTAGTAGAAAAAAAAAAAATATTTGCATAATTTTGTTTCTTATTTATTGATGGGCAAATAACAGTCTGATACATTTATGGTAAGTTATAGGCAGGTTGTTTCTGAAGTAACCCATCTGTGGTTTGATACAAAAACAAATTTATCACACAATATTGCAATAAGTAATGCATTTATTTATTTTTTGTTTGCTGTCGAAATTTAAGTAACAACAAATTTGATGCCATTGGTTGAGTGAATGATCCTAGAAGTCCCGCCTTGTGAAGTTATTCAATTTTGTTGTTTAAATTGTAGTAACTTAAGAAATGAAAAACATTTTTTTTTTTAGTCAGTTTTATTTATTACCTGATAATATTATCGGGTGACCCTATGGATCAAAAACAAATTGTACCTCGGTAGAATTTGAATGCTACTGATTTAGAATATACTAAAATAGTTGTTAAGAGAGTTTTGCAATATTTATTTATATTTTTGTTACAGGATGACACGTCTGGAGATTACAAAAAGTGTTTGACTGCCCTCGTCGTTGGTTAAAATCAAAATTTAATATTACCTCAATCGATATTAAACACTGAATTTTTTTCTAATTAATGTATTTCATTATTACCAGCACCCATATATTATGATTGTTTCATTATTATATTGTTAAAGACATTTTATTATATAACTAAGGAGTTGCATTTGGGCTTTAACCATCAGTATTTATTCGAATTTGTGTGTTTTATTCTTAACATATTGTTAGGGTCGTAAATCAAATGTTTATTTAATATAATTAAATCTTGTTATAATGCTATTGGCTAAAAGTTTCTGCAGTAACAAAAAAATATATGTTTATTAATTTTGTTTAAAAAAAATAGTATATTCTTGTTGATAATTTAAGATATTCTAAATTATAACACTTGCTGTTGTACTCAGTTACAACAACAACTTATTGTGTTTAACAAATTTACTATATTATAAATATTTGTTCATAGATTTACAATAATAACCCAACTGCATACAATATACTGGTGTATACAATTATAAGAATTTAAATAGTGTCAATTTTCATTAACAAATCACAAATAGAATTATAAATTTTGTTTCCATGAATTTAACACAACTGTGAAACAATTAAAGTCTGTATGTGTAAAGTTCACAGTTAGTTATAATCAGGGTAAAATATGTGCCACATGAAATATTAAAATTAACAATGAATTTCAATTAAATTATATTACAATTTTTAAATAAGACGCCTTATGTTACAAACTAATCTTTAATACTTGAATTGTTAAAATATTGTTTTATTTTATATTACATTTACTCTGTGTTTTTATAAATTGTTTATTTTTTGTACTTAAATGTGATTTATTATGTTATCTTCAAATATTGTAATAATTATTCTTGTTAAATTTTACCAAATAGTTTATTCAAAATATATATATTTAATTAAACGAAAATTCAGATGTCATTTTTCTAAGATATTCCATTACAGTTTATAAAGAAAATATTTTTACATCATATTATTATGCAATTTATTCAATCATAGTAACGTATCATGGGAAGTAGCAAATACAATTTAAACATAAAACGTAGTACTATTATGATATAAAATATCATTAACATTTTGTGTATCCCCCACAAGAAAGGAAACTTTTTTTCCATTATTTTGTATACAAAATTGTTTTATTGTGTTTGTTAGTTTTATCAATGTTTATACACAACAAAATCCGCCTTTAACTTATTATAAAATATGTGCTTATGTTTTCTTGTTAACAAAATAATGTTTTTTTACATTACTTTCTAGTGAGGCAACAGGACCAAGTAATTGTCTTATTTTTGTTTTATTTTAACGTTATTTAAGTTTCAAATTAATGACGGGAGGGGTGGGGTGCGGCAGAGTAATGTGGATAGTTATAAATAATACTACACTCCATCCTTCCTACAGTCATCATTTTCGGCAAATTAATCTTAATTTCAAAAAAGTAATTAAATATATTCGTTATCATTTAAATGTTGAAAATTGATAGAGCTCTAGAAAAAATAAACAAGATAAAAAAATTGAATATTGTCTAATATTGTAAGACAACATAAACTCGAGTGTCTCCAAGAAGGAAAACTACAGAACTGCGATTATTTAAAAAAAAAAGTAGTGTCTTCCGTCTTAAGCTTTGATGATTCATTCTGTACAAAGTAACTATAAAATAAACAGCATTTACAGGTGGGGCAAAGACGATGGTGAAATATCGATACTTTTGGCACAGAATAAATGAAAATTTGCTTTTGGTATCGACATGCTATTATTAAATCGATAGCAATAACAAAAATATCGATAGCTCACTATCGATTTTGGCCTACTATACGTACGTAGATACCTGATACTATATTGTGAGAAACACGAACTAAGATAGTTTGTGGTGAGAATATTAGGAATTGGCGTACGGTACAAATATATCGATACTATCATCCAGCTGTTGTAAATATTAAAATATATCGATATTTTATGTTATAGTTATCGATACTATGGTATGTCGATTGTTCGGCCCATCCTTACTTCGCGGTTCGCCCCCCACAGACGGCAGACCACTATTTCAAGAATACCGTCATTAGTCATTATAATATAGTCATTGTTATCTACTCTGTTCAGTTTTCTGATAAACGATCAACAAACGTTTAACGTTCAAGACTATTATATTAATGAGTACTAGTTTTATAATTATATAAGTAAACCAACTCGCATACAGAATACCGTGAATCGGATCTTATCCACTTCGTTGTTATTGTGATATTTTGGGTTTTCAGTCAATTGGACTGTCCTTATTAATTGTGCGAGAAATACATTATTGTTATTATTATGAGTTATCCAGGATACCCACCAAACAATCAGGTAAATATAATATGTGTTAAAATAATATTATGTATCTATAAGGGAAACGAAAAAGCTAATACATTTATAAATATTAAAACTAATTATGAGCAACATACATAAATAAATATAAATTTAATTTTTTTAATTTAACAAGTCCGTAGTGGATCAATCTGTATGTTTGTGTGCTTATAATTAATATTTGGTAGTATATTAAGTAGTTTGTTCCATAAATACTAAGTATTTGATTATATAAGTCTATTTTTATTGTTAGGGATACCCTGGCCAACCTGGAGCGCAACAGCCATTACCGTCTAACCCTACAGGCTACCCACCAACATCTGGCTATCCACAAACTAGTCCGTATCCCTCTCAGCCAGGTTATGCTCCTCAGCCTGGTGCATATCCTTCCCAACCATTTGGTCAATACCCGCCCCAACAACCTGGTCAATACCCGCCTCAACAACCTGGTCAATACCCGCCACAACAACCCGGTCAGTATGCCCCAAGTCAACCCTATCCATCTGCATATCCACCAGCTCCTGGATATCCACCCCAGTCTGCAGGGTATCCATCCGCATTACCCGGGTCTACACCAGCTCCTGGATATCTACCTCAAGCTGCAGGGTACCCACCACAAGCCGGATATCCTGGCTCACAACAAGTGCCGTCTTCTTATCCGAATGTGACTGCTGGTGGTTTTGGAGCTGGTCATCAAGTTCCACCCCGAGCACAGTATCCACCTATGACAAGTCCTGCTCATTATCAACCAGTGGGTAGCTCGCAAGTCTCTAAAAAGGTGAGGTTTCTATAATCATTGCTGTACAACTGCTTAAATTTTCTATATAAGTAAGATCAGTATTAAACAATATTAAATAGTACATTTTCCAGAAATCACTATCATGCTTATAATAGTCTAATTTTATAAATGCAACTTATCCAATTGTGGTTTGTCATTTAGGAGTTTATAACTTATTAGTGCTTTGTTTTTGCAGCCCTTGTAACAATACCTTTTCAGTTAAAATAGTTTTTAATGGTATGATATTTTTTGTTGTTATTCGTTTAACAATTTTATGTAAAAGTTTTAGAATTCAATTTGAACTTTATATTGTTTTAGGCTAATCCAACTGTTCGCCCAGCTAATCCCTTTGATGCTCGCCAAGATGCTGAAATATTGCGTAAGGCAATGAAAGGCTTTGGAACCGATGAAAAGGCAATCATCAATGTATTGGCTCATAGAGTCAATGCTCAAAGGCAAGAAATTGCTATGCATTTCAAGACTATGTATGGAAAAGTATGTATTAAAAAAAAAAAAAATCATTACCAAAGTATAGTTTTTTTTCTACATTAAAATATCAATCTATTTCAAGTGGGTTTATTTATAGTAAGAGACCAACATGAAAGCTTTTGCCTTTTTAATAAATGGCGAGAGGCTAATGAGAGTAATATTGCATATTTGTTTTATTTAAGGATTTAATTTCGGATTTAAAAAGTGAATTGGGTGACAAGTTAGAGGACTTGGTAGTTGCTCTCATGACTCCCACTTATGATTATCTAGCAAAGGAATTGCATAATGCTATGGATGGTGTTGGAACAAATGAAGAAACAGTCGTTGAAATCATATGCACTGCTTCTAACTCTGAAATTCTGAACATCAAATCGGCTTATCACAGACGTAAAAAAACAATTTTTGCAATTTATGCATGATATATTTTTTATTACATGGAAAATTTAATAATAATTTTAAAATTAAAGTTTTTGGAAGTGATTTGGAAAATGATCTTCACGGAGAAACATCTGGAAGTTTCCGTCGCCTTTTAGTTTCGTTATGTCAAGGACGTCGTTCTGAAAGTACTGCTGTTGATGTCGCATCGGCCCAAGTAGACGCTCAGAACTTACTGAAAGCTGGTATGCTTATTATTTGTATTAACCATAAAAATATCTGTGTTATATTCAAAGAAACAATATTACAATTTTTATATTCTTAACTATTTTTATTTTTATTTTATAGGGGAACTTCAACTGGGAACTGATGAGTCGACATTCAACATGGTGTTATGTAGTCGTAGCTACACTCAATTAACACAAGTATTTTTAGAATATCACCGTTTGGTTGGACGAGATTTCGAAGATGTTATTAAGAACGAATTCAGTGGGGACATTGAAAGCGGACTCAGAGCTATTGGTGAGTTATACATTACCGTTGTTATATTTTAAGTGTAACAAATTTTATATTTTAGTTAAATCTGTGAGGGACAAGAGTGCTTTCTTTGCTAAACGTTTGCACGAAAGTTTGGCTGGATTTGGAACCGACGATAGAGCGTTGATCAGAATTGTTGCTACTCGTTGCGAAATTGATATGGTCGACATCAAGAATGCTTATATGTCTTTGTATGGTAAATCACTGGAAGCCGACATTGCGGTAAGAATTGCGGTTTTTCAATTATATTTCTGTTCATTTGAGCCCTCTGTTAGTCGCATGATTTTCGGTCACATTTCATAGTGTGACTGAGCTACAACCATAGACCATCCGCCTAATGAAGAGTTAACTAAATAATATTTGTTGTTGTGGTGTTCAGTCTAAAATCTTAATATAACTATCATGAATTATACCACTGAATTACTACACATAAATAGTTCATAGCAATATACAAATTTTGAAAACGTATTTCTCTACTGTCTAGTTCTCAATCTCTTATACTCAAGGTCAGCTTGGCACCTGTAAGGCTTTATATTCTAAATTTCTAAGAGCCAAAAATGACTAATTTGTGTCAATGTTTATACCAGTACGTGGGATGTCTATTTGTAGTTGATTATAGTTGCATAGTAGATAACAAATTGAGTAGGCAAAAAATAATAATATTACATCCTTTTGTTTCTTATTTATCTATGGGAAATAACAGTCGGATACATTTATGGTAAGTTCCAGGCATGTTGATTCAGAAGTAATCCATCTATTTGATAAAAAAAAAATATCACACATAATTATTATTATTATTAAAAAGAAAGGCATTATTAATAGCAATTGCTATTAATAATGCCTTTCTTTTTTTTGGTTGCAGTCAAAATTTATGTAACTTAACACATTAAATGCCATTGGTAGAGTCAGTGATCACATTAACATTGAAATTACTCAATATATAATTAATAATAAAATATATTTTCCTTTTTGATTTAAAAATTCCTACCCATAGATCATAAGCCTAAGTAATTTTATAAGATAAAGATAGTAAAGTTTTTGAGCTAACATTCATAAGCCTTTTATCACTAAATTAAAAAAATGAGGAGAGACAAAATGCTAACATGAGTAATGTTAATATACAAAAATTAATACTATTTATCGACTGTTTATGCAAGTCCAATATATATATATATTTTTTGGATTACTAATATTAAAAGTAACAGAAGAACGATAATGTTAAAGAGGTTAATAACATTAATTAACAAGGAATTTTTAATTTCAACTAAGGTGTTTTGCATTAACGGGGTCGTTTGTTTGCAATATTATTTTTTCTTTGTTGCTTGAACGAATATTTGTAGGCAAATTAAACCTTATTTTTAGTCGTATGCAACAAAAACCAACAACTAAATTACTTCTCAGTAGATTGTGCATGCCACTGATTTACGAGATACTAACAAAAGTTGTTTAGAGGGTTTTGCAATATTTATATTTATATTTTTGTTACAGGATGACACGTCTGGAGATTACAAAAAGTGTTTGACTGCCCTCGTCGTTGGTTAAAATCAAAGTTTAGTATTATCTCAATCCATGACAAACTTTTGAATTTTTAACTAATTAATATATTACATTATTTACAAACACCCATATATTTTTGGTTAGTGTTAAATTTAAAATTGTTTAATTTATTTGATTGTTTCGTTATATTATTGTTGAAGGAGTTTTGAGCAAACTTGTTTGTAATTTTGATCACCTTTTATTATATAAGTTCAAAATTTCATTTAGGCTTTGGCCAACAGTATTTATTCAATATCGTATGCTTTATTGCTAACGTATTATTAGGCTAGAAAATCAAATGTTTATTTAATATAATTAAATCTTGTTATAATGCTATTGGCTAAAAAGTTACTGCAGTAACAAACAAAACGTGTATTCATAAATATTATTTAAAAAAATAGTATACTATATAATATAAACTAATATAAAATAGTTACAGTTTAAAACATTTACTAAGTTATTCATAGATATATAGATAGATAGATAGATATATTTATTCATAGATTTACAATGATAACCCAACTGCATACAATATACTGTTGTATACAATTATAAGAATTTAGATAGTGTCAATTTTCATTAACAAATTTCAAATAGAATAGTAAATTCGGTTTTAACGAATTTAACATACATAAGTGTGAAACAATTAAAGTCTGTTTAAATGTGAGAAGTTCACAATTAGTTATAACCAGGGTAAAATATGTGCCACATGAAATATTAAAATGAACAAAAACAAATTAACAACGAATTTCATTTAAATTATATTACAATTATATATATTGCTAATACGCCTTATGTTACAAATTAATACTTAATAGCCACTTGAATTGTTAAAATATTGTTTTGTTTTATATTACATTTACTCTTTGTTTTTATATAATTTGTTAATTTTTTTTATTTAATGTTGAATTATAATGTTATCTTCAAATATTGTAATAATTATTTTTGTTAAATTTTACCAAATAGTTTATTCGAAATATATATATTTAATTAAACAAAAATTTAGATGTTATTTCTCTAAGATATTCCATGACAGTTTATAAAAAAAATATTTTTACATCATATTATTACGCAATTTATTCAATCATAGTAACGTATCATGGGAAGTAGCAAATTTCAATTTGAACTTAAGACATATTACTATTGGTATACAATCAAAAACAAGAAACATCATTTGTACCTTTTGTAACTCCACATAGAGGAAACTCATTTATTTGTAAACAAAAATGTTTCATTGTGTTTGTTAATTTTTATCAATGCTACTACATCCTAGCCCTACTCTATATATAATTATAAAATTAATCTTATTTTTGTTTGTCATAATATAAATTATTATAAATTTTCCAAATCAAACTTTAGGTAGTTAGTTCTCAGTTAAAAAAAAAACTAAATTATTGAAATACATTTATACGTTACTCTATTAGGGTGTTAAATAATCTTCAGATAAAACTGTTAAACATATTATATTTTGTCGTATAATGTACAATATTACCCAAATAGTTTTGTACTAACTACAGAGTGTTACTACTATTGAAGTGTTTATTATTCATTTATAGCTTGTAACAGAACTTGTATTACACACAGTGTGTGTCCTGATAGAACTCAATAAAAGTAGTTTTAGTAGTATAATTATTGTACTTTACTGTAAGAAGAGTTTTATTAATAACACTACGATTTAACGGCGACAAGCAATAAAAGTAGCTGTAGAATGTCTTGTTATAATCTTCTTGGAGGTACTTGAACACGTACAACTTATAATAGTGTAAATGTATTTTTGACAATTTGGGCTGAATCCAGTTTTGTCGGGACCAAAGTTAATTTTTTACGACTATACAATATTATATTGTCAAACATTTATATACAAAGTAATGTATTATATTCTTAAAATCGTAATGACATGACGTGCCAGTCGAGTCAAAATTATTTTTGGACGTCTGCGACTCCACATTTTATTACTGGACAGAACTTGAAACGATGGACAATAATATTATGTTCCTGTTAGTACTTGGTAATCCACAGAATTAAATTATATACTATAATTTTAGAACTAACAGCCAGCTCCTGACCTCGCTTGTTTGTCCAATGACGTTTCATTATAGGAATCTCTATAATACAAATACTGGTACTTGTCTACATACATATTTATCGATGATCAATTCAGTTTTTCAAAGAGTGAGGCAAAAGTTTTGACCTGCCCCAAATCCATTAAGGACCACAGAGTAAATCATTTTTGTTTTGGTTTTTTTGTGTTTTAACACAAAAATATATTTCACCACTTTCATTTAAAGGAGTTTATGTAAAACTGATTCTTAAAATGTTTTCTTTAATAGGGAACGTACAAGGCTTCCAAGGACGGTGCAATTAAGTGTTTTGAGTAATGGAACAAATTATATTTTTACTTTTTGACGGATAAAATATGTTCAACAATGTATTCAAATCGAAATAGTTATTTTTTTTCAAAACCGGTTTCTAAATCTAAATTATATAGTTTAATCGTTTTTTCGATCCAGCAAGTTTCCCACGAAAATGATAATCAATAATCCAAATATATCATTGAAAATTAGAGAACAAAATGTATAAAATTGATTGTCGAATGAATAGTAGGTCAATACAATAAGTATCACAAAAACTTTAGATATCATCAAACAATCGGTTGGGCAATGATGTCCTGAACACCCTGTATATTAGGCTGGACTAGAACCAACGAGTGGAAACTGTTGATCACACGACTTCCCCTAACTTATCCCGCACTTATCGACGGTGCTTTGAGAGACGTGGGCAAAGAGATGCGAATACAATATATATATATATTATATACAATATAATATAATATCTTATATAATGTGTATTCAAGACGTTGACAATATTGACGCATTGTTTACGGGCCGATAATGGAGACCGATAATGAATAAGGAGGCAATAACTTAGCACGGGGCAGAGGATTATAATATGTGTAGTATGTGCGCTGCGCTGTAAGGATCTCGTATGTGTGTGTATAAAAAATACAAATAAAAAACGGTATAATCGAGAAGCCTGGCCAGACCCACGCGTCCGTGCCGCTCTTGTCGTCTTGTCCCGGCATCTTATACACAGCCGTGGGGTGAGCGCGTTGGCATCTTTATGTTCGGTCGGACTAAGTGCAAACCACAGTCAACGGCGAGAAGAAGCGGCCCTTTATATAAAATAAAAAAATAAAAAAAACTTTCATTATACTCACATACGCGCAACCCATATAGGTTAATACAACATATATATATATATATATATATATATATATACCTAGGACTAAAACTGTGTGACGGACGACAGCGCGATATCATAAATTCGAAAAAGAAAAATATATATATATATATATTTCTTGTCGAACGACTTCCAAGCGGATAGCCGACGGTTTTTTTTTTAGACGTAAATGGTTTTTTACTTAAAAAAAAAAAAATAAACAACCCATTAAGCAGCGTTCTACGATTCGTTAGTCGATCAGATTATAAAACATGTGCACGACCCACCGAATATATTTTATTCTATCTACTCTACCTCCCCTCACCCCCTACTGCCAAATGGAATTAAAGAACTACCGGCTATCACCCCCCGGGAGTGGGGGGATGATTCGCCATATTTTTGTCATAGTCGACGGTCGAGTTCAATCTCTATTATTTGGTAACCTATACTTTAATGGTTCTTAATAAGTAATGTACCCGGGGGGAGGTGAGCTAGGGGTGGTAAGCTAACTGACTAATTTTCTCTGCCAAAATATGAAATTCGTTTGTTATACCATAAAATTGGGTTTCAACTTTCGATCGTGGTCAAGATTTATAGCATATATTTTTGAAGCCACAAGCCAGATCGTGTTTAGCATAATAATAACTACCATACACACATACCGGATAGTACACGCCAATTAAACCGAACGGTCATGATCCAAGTGTCGACCTACGGCCATCGTGGCACCGTTATCTGGGGTTTCTATCACGGATTCGTGCCCGCCAGAGTATGTCTTAATAGGTATAAGACGGGTGTCTTCGTTATAAAATATTATGCCAACAAGTAAAACTGAATAGTGACAGACGCCGGTGACCTGTACCTGCGATACTTAATACAGGTTTATCATGCTTATGCCGCGCTTGTTCTTTCCAGATGCAACCAAATGCACAACATGAAGGTGTAAAAAGCTCCCAGAAAAATGGTGAAGATACAGATTCCTGTTAAAGCTCCACAAGACAAAATTAAGCGACGATGGACGATTTCAGTAACTATAGTTTGGGATGTAAATATTTTCACTCCCTCCCCCTATTAAAAAAAAAAAAAAATCCTTGTTAATGATGTACCTATTTATTTAATGTAAACGTTGTAACCATATAGAATAAATATTACTGTTAACGTGGGATTTGAAATTAATATTTTATTATATTATATTTAATAAATAAATTCAAGACAATCTTTATTTCAATCCCCAGTCTTTATCTAACCAACATGTTTTAAGAAAAATCAAACTTTTGAAAATGTATTTAAGCCAAGTCTTTGTCAAGTTTAATCATTGGACTACTAAATGTGCCATTAATTATCCTATAAAAGCTTTTGAGGTATTAGTCGATAACGCTTTGAGCGTTACACTTATCACATGTAAAAGTATATATAATTACTTAAAACCTTAGTTACCTATATAACTACAGTTATTTTAGTTTATATACTTAGCTTATTGGAAATATTTTTTATAAGTCTGCAATGTGATATTGTGGGAACAAATAAAACTAAACGATTAAAGCTTAAGCTGATTGAAAGCGGACGGGTTTTAAGGAGTACTACATAGGCAATATTTAAGAAAAAAGAGGGTTTTAATAAATGTCATTTTATTTACAGATTAATTTGCATAAGCTTCAATAGGTATTATTTTTAACTCTAAACGCCATTTTTATGGTACTTTAGACCAAAAAACTAGTCAAAATGTCGACTACTATCCTAAGTAGGAGTGATCCCGCTTTCAATCGCCTTAATGGAATTTGGTAAAAAAAAATAACCTTCTCGTCATACCCAAGACCCAATGTTTAATTTTTTCAAACCACTTGCTCAGTTAGTAGCTATTCGATTTACGGACAGTCCTCGACTGCTTTGCTGTATTTTACCACAACACACAACACTTGCAAGACATCTAAACTAATGTAATTAAATTATTGGCAACAATGAATGTTCCCTTATATTATGTTGTCGCTTTCGATAGGAACAATGGTACCGTTTTTTTTTTTGTGTAAAATATTTCACTATAAAAACAATATACGATATACCCTCTGTAAAAAAAAAATTAATAATAATAATAATAAATTAGCGAACGGGTAAACGCTTATAAATTAAACGAGTATAAGTATCAAACATGTCTTTTATTATTTTATACGATTCAGGCAACGCCGTAATTATGATTTATAAACGTTGGTATTATTATTTTTCTCTTCGTTAAAAATGAAAATAAATTACAATAAACTGTATTAATGCGGATAAGGGGTTGGATTTGGACGCCGTTAAGTTTAATTTCCTATACCGGCCATGTTGTGCGTGTGTGACACATCTGCAATTCCGTTTCCGGAATTAATTATTGTAATACTGCATTATTCGATTTGGCTATAACTCGAGTTTACACACACATTCGGTCGTATGTATAATAGGTATGTAGTACAATATTCGTGCTGCGATACTTTGTCATTAATATCCAATTCTAGCAAGTCTAAATCCATAGTTCATAGTTCTTGAAAACCGACTTCCGAATGGCACACAGAACGTCCGCAGGATAAGACCGTTTGACAGCTGTTTTCTTTCGATTTTGATAAATTAAATAATCTGAAACATAGGTAGGTACAA